GGGTAGTCATAAATTAAACCCTTTAGTTAACAAAATAATAATATCACAGTTAAATGAAGTTCCTTATTTCAGTCACAAAATAAATGTTACAACAATTGACTGGTCACTAACCTAGCACAGGATTAATAGAACGTACAAGTAAAAAAAATATACCACGAAATGAGCATCCCGTCATACGGCCCCCTACTCAAGCGTCAAGCGTCCTCGCTTGACCAAAGGCGCTTTCTTGAATCACATTCAAGCCTCACTTCAGTAGTACGTAGCACCGTTGTAGTATCATGTTTCCAATTGCTGGTAGTTGAAGTCCGCTGTTCATGCCGTATCAAGCATCCAGGTTCATATTCCGTCGTCGTCGCGACCATCATCCTCCCGGGTCGAAGACAAAGCTGGTGTCTTTATCGAGTAGCATTGAATGCTCCAGCTTTTGGCACCTGTTCCACGTTCCACAAGTCGAAACGTTGCTGGGTCCAGTCATCACGCCACGAGCGTCACAAACTCCAGGGATGAAAATGGCATCTTCCGTCCCAACTGCGCTCAACTCTCGCCTGTCGGTCACGAACTGAACAGGTCCATCCATCTCATCCGGCGAAACATCATTCGCGCTCCAAGCACAGTCACTAGGAACAATTCCCCTCAATGTCTCTTCAGCCACTCTCATAGAGTACGGATTACTCCCGTCCGCAGTTCGTTCGACAGGCATACAGCCTTTGGCCTCACTACGATCTTCCTCACATGGAGAAGCCTCACATTCTGGGTTACCGATTGCCGACGTGTCGTCGAATGCTCCAGTTGAATTCTCATGCTCTTCTAGCCGACCTCTACCCCACAGGACATCGCCGGCAATATCTTGTACGCGAAGATATCCGGTTTCCTCTTTAGGAAGCTGCAAGTCGATTGCAGCGTCATCATTAGAGCCCTGAATTTTGGCCACAGTGTTCTGTGCTGGGCAGAGATTCCGAATTGTTTCCCGCAAATGAGGCAATTCTGGTGCCCGAACCGCGTTCGGGATCGAGGTAGGCTGCACCTCCGAGCGTGAAGATTGCCCTGTACGAGCGGCTGCCAACGCATTACAGACGGCTTCTGTGATGACTTCTTGGATCTCCTCCAACGATAGACTTTGTTGGTCTTGGCCTGTTTCATCTGAAGGGTCTTGTCGGCGACAACTTCTCTCATCAGATCGTCTGCCTCCAAATCTCTTTAATTCCGAGGTTCTCGGTCCATTATGCTGCAGTGATGCGTAACACTGCCGTGACGGATGCCCAGAGTATTCGACGTAAGGGCCAGCAAATTCATTATCATTAGTGTGGCGTCTAGGCGTGCAATGTTCTAAGCTAATTGCATTTGCCTCATTGTATTTTCGATACTTGTGATCTCGCTCTCCACAAGGTTGACGAGTCCGGTCACTCCGATGCGGGAGTGCAGTGGGTCTTCCGTGCTGGATCTCAGCAGGCTTGACCTCAAAAAATCTGGTAGTATCTTCGGTTGGTCTTAAAAATCTTCTGGTACACATCTTCTCATATTGGTCGGAAACATATTGAGCCAGCTCCCACAGATCGCCCGCATCTCTCTGTTCAGCCCGATCTCTGAGATCGGAAGGAAGCCCCTCAATAAACGCGTCGATCGCCATCTCCTCCGCCCCTTGTCTNACCTTACAGGAGTGGACAGCAAGGATACGGGTACGAGCCGTATCACAAAACTGACGACCTTACAGGGGCGGACAGCAAGGGTACGGGTACGAGCCGCACCACAAAACTGACGACCTCACAGGAGTGGACAGCAAGGACTGTCTCTTATACACATCTAGATGTGTATAAGAGACAGGTCTCGTTCCAAGACTACCACAGCTAGACAAGTTTCCATATTACGGTCACGAAATAAATATTCGTTTACACATTGTTTAGTCATAAATTAATACATTCAACCATTATTGAGTCATATTTTAACGTAATAGATAATATCAAGACTCGAATCTCTTAATGAAGTTGACCTTCCAAGTCCAGCCAATACTACGTTCTAAAAAAAATTATTTCATAAAATTCGGGTTCCGTCACACGGCCCCCTACTCAGGATTCAAGCGTCCTCGCTTGACCAAAGGCGCATTCTTGAATCACATCGAGCCTCACTTCAGTAGCACGTAGCGCCGTTGTAGTATCATCCTTCCAATAGCTGGTAGTTGAAGTCCGCTGTTCATGCCGTATCAAGCATCCAGGTTCATATTCCGTCGTCGTCGCGACCATCATCCTCCCGGGTCGAAGACAAAGATGGTGTCTTCATCGAGTACCATTGAATGCTCCAGCTTTCGACACCTGTTCCACGTTCCACAGGTCGAAGCGTTGCTGGGTCCCGGTCCAGTCATCACGCCACGAGCGTCACAAACTCCAGGGATGAAAATGGCATCTTCCGACCCAACTGCGCTCAACTCTCGCCTGTCGGTCACGAACTGAACAGGCCCATCCATCTCATCCGGCGAAACATCATTCGCGCTCCAAGCGCAGTCACTAGGAACAATTCCCCTCAGTTTGCAGCCAGAATGCGTAGAGACCTGCATTTTGGCCACAGGGATCAGCGTTGGGCAGAAATTCCGTGTTTCCCGTAATTGAGGCAACTCTGGCGCGCGAACCGCGTTCGGAATCGAGGTAGGCTGCACCTCTAATTGTGCAGATTGCCCTGTACGAGCGGCTGCCAACGCAGTACGGACGGCTTCTGTGATGACTTCTTGGATCTCCTCCAAAGATAAACCCTGTTGGTCTTTGCCTGTTTCCTCTGAAGGGTCTTGTTGGTGACAACTTCTCTCATCAGATCGTCTGCCTCCAAATCTCTTCAATTCCGAGGTTCTAGATCCATAATGCAGCAGTGATGCGTAACACTGCCGTGACGTATGACCAGAGTATTCGACGTAAGGGCCAGCAAATTCATTATCATTAGTGCGGCGTCTAGGCGTGCAATCTTCTAAGCTAATTGCAGCAGCCTCATTGCATTTTCGAGACTTGTGATCTCGCTCTCCACAAGGTTGACGAGTCAGGTCACTCCGATGCGGGAGTGCAGTGGATCTTCCGTGCTGGAACTCAGCAGGTTTGACCTCATAAAACCTGTTACTATCTTCGGCTGGTCTTAAAAATCTTCTGGTACACATTTTCTCATATTGGTCGGAAACATATTGAGCCAGCTCCCACAGATCGCCCGCATCTCTTTGTTCAGCCCGATCTCTGAGATCGGAAGGAAGCCCCTCAATAAACGCGTCGATCGCCATCTCCTCCGCCCCTTGTCTGTTACCCGGCCATGCCTTTAGCGCAAGACCCAGACAATCAGCAGCGAAGTCCATAAGTTCTTCATTCGGACCCCAGGTCCGTTGACTCAGCCTCCGCCGAGCTCGATTCCTCTCCTCCGTGCTTCCTTGCCGCAGGAGATAGAAGCGCACATCCTGCCAAGTCAGCAACTCTCTGTCGATCATTTTCAATCGTCGTCGTGACGATGCGTTCAGAAGAGCCCTGAAGAGACGGACCTGCTCATCTTCATCAACTTCAACGGCAGCACAAAAATTTTCAAAATACTCTGCATAATCTTCTAGTTTCTCATGTTCACGTTGAGGTCGTGCCTCAAACTTGATCTCATAGCGACGCCTCGGCTGAGCATCACGCCGCGCTCCCGCTCTCTCGAGCAATTGATCCGCCATTACGCCGTAGCTCCTGATGTATCCTAATATTTTCTGTTTCGCGCCGAAAAGTCCGCCATTATACCGCTGGCTTCGGATTCATCCGGTTATCATTGTCACGTAGTCATAGTTGGTTATCGAAGTTTTCTTCTTCGTTGAAATCAAGCGCCAAACTTGACACAGTCGAGCGGCGCCTTGGAGGGGTGACTTGTTGTGCTCCAGCTCCCCCTAGCAGTTGCTGCTGAGCCTCAGCCATAACGCCGAAGGTTGTGGGTCCGTCCGGTATATAAAAGCAGGAAAGTTTGTTTCACTGCTTCGGAGCGCCGATGGAAGACACTCCAATCCCACCGCTGCCACCAAATTTCTTAACTTCACTTGTGTGACCGGAATAAAAAATAGATAATATAATATAATACAATAAAGTCAACATTTTTGGTAATCATTTGGCAATCTAATCACAGTTAAAAATCTAATAATCTTAAACTAATTCCAAAGAGACCAAACTCTCCATCGTTCACGACTGCCTAGCGCGCGCTATAACGAGGTTAGGAGCAGCTTGACCAATCACGCTGGAGCCACGCCCCGTCTCGTTCCAAGACTACAATCACCTCAGCTAGACAAGTTTCCATATTACGGTCACCAAATAAATATTCGTTTACACATTGCTTAGTCATAAATAAATACATTCAACAATTATTGAGTCATATTTTAACGTAATAGATAATATCAGGACTCGAATCTCTTAATGAAGTTGATCTTCCAAGTCCAGCCAATACTACGTTCAAAAAAAATTATTTCATAAAATTCGGGTTCCGTCACACAAGGATACAATGACTCTCGAATCATGATTATTACACTGAAGTGCGATAATTAAGGATATGCAATGAAGTATAAAAAAATTTGCACCATTCGATGTTCGCCCACCTCGCTCACATGCGCCTGTGGCGTGCACGCAATGACACAATGACTCTCGTACCGTGATTATTATACCGTAGTGCGATAATTAAGGATAGTAATATAGTATATAGTATAAAAAACATAATATAATATGTATGTAATATGTAATATAGTATGAAAAACTTTGGACGAAAGTGTTGTTTGATTTTTCTACTCAATTTTTCGTAGCATTCGAAAGCTATTTCAAACTTGCGCAAAGCACTAGTTCAGTTGCTTTCATCTGAGAAATTGCTTTCCTAAATCTGTTGAATAACATCTTACTTGTATCAACTTACCCAGAATCTATTGAATACCTTTTTGGCTTGTATCAACACATCCTAAATCTGTTGAATACTTTTTTGGCTTGTATCAACTCATTTTGAATCTGTTGAATACCTTTTTTGCTTGTATCAATACATGCTAAATCTGTTGAATACCTTCTTGGCTTGTATAAACACATCCCAAATCTGTTGAATACCTTCTTGGCTTGTATCAACTCATTTTGAATCTGTTGAATACCTTTTTTGCTTGTATCAACTCATCCTAAATCTGTTGAATACCTTCTTGGCTTGTATCAACTCCAGACTCTCGCTGATTTTCTCCGCAGTGAAGCCCGAGCAGTCGTCAGGTTTGTCTCTGACGCTCTGTACGATAATAAATGAATATGATTTATTTTTTGATCGAAGATGACAAATTTCATTATAAAACTATATATTGGTTTACATATTCATCTATATATGATGGCAGAGACAAAATTACGTGTGTTATTTCAAATAAATTGTTCTTGTTTTATGTCATGTTGTTTGTCTTGTACTTGCGGCTTACTAGCTGTAGAATTCTTTAAATAATTCGAGTTATGCCGTTAGAATATTTTTTACTCAATCGGAACAAGTTTGTTGGAGGCAATTTAATTACACTAAATGTCAGTGCAATTTAAAAATTAAATAAACTCACAGTTCCGATTTAAAATGTAATTAGACCAAGTAACCAATTAATTAAAGCAAATCATAATAAGAATCTGCTTAATTGAACTAAATAATAATAAAATGAAGCTGTTAAGTTTTATGTTGGTTACCTTGCTTGGTGACGACAGCCCAACGACTGACATGAGTTTTTTGAACGTCCTGGCGCTGAAAATTTCCGCCAACTGAAATTTTGAAAAATTAATTACTTAATCATAAATTACATAGAAAGTAACCATAATCATAAAATAAAAATAATCATCATAAAATATTATAATAAATAAATATAAATAAATAAATAAAATATCATAATAATCATAAAATAAAATTAATCCGAAATTACTCAAATTACGTCGTGAATTTGGACACCTCACTGCGTGTATTTGATGGGAAAAAGTTGTAAATTACTTGTTCATGATGACAATACATTCGGTGATGAAGCAAATTACTTAAATGTCATATCATAATGAAAATGTGGAACGATTTGACAAAACAATATTAATTGATTTAATGTTAGGCTTTTTTAATATTTTTTAATATCAAAATTAATAATAAAATATTAAAATATTTTTTAATATTTTTATTTATTATTAAGCTCTTAATGAATATGAATAAATTCCTGTCATTTTCACAAACAATCAATTTTTGGATGAAAAATTTCATTCAATAACGAATAGATATTAAAAATCTATTATATACAAATCAATTGTGGATATTATGCATTTGTTCACTTACATACATCCAATAATGTTAACTATATTGTGTGGCATAAAAAAAAACAAGTTTTAGATAGCTTAGACAGGCAATGAAGATTGAAATTGCTAATGATGATTGAGAACAAGAGAATAATAATAAAATTATCAATGACGACAGTAGACCACGATAATATTAAAAAAATATGATTAATGATAATGAAAAAGATTATTGCGATACAAATTGTATATGATCACGATAATATTGATAATTATACGATTCTGTATTATGTGTTGATACGGGAAGGAGTGTTGATACACATCCGAGCACCTGCTGTGGCTTCTATATGATCGCGATAATATTGATAATTATACGATAATTATACGATTCTATGTAGTGTGTTGATACGAGAAGGAGAGTTGATACCTGTTGAGGCAGCCAGATGAGGCAGGGGATGAGTATCTTGTAGATATACACGGAGGGATCCAGCCACGACGCCTTGTGTTGGATCACTAGACGTGGCTGCTGATCCATCGTGATGGGAGGATACGTGTAGCCACTCATTTTTTCGTTGAGCTACTATTAGCTTATTGATAGAAATCTATTTCTGGAATTTGTAACCTGGGAAAATTATATGTTCAATTAGTAATTTATTATCGGGTATTATTTTTTTAGTTATTAATAATTATTACGCAGGACATACTTATTTTTGTTACACACGTTTTTGTTTGATATTAACAATATTATATGCGATTCAATGCACGACTAATTCTCTGATATTCGGAGACTAACTACTAAAACTTAAGCCTGAACTATATAATGAAGACTGACTATATACGTAAATAACTGAGTAGGAATATAAGAATATCTGTAGATTTTTATATCTGTAGCACCCCACTCAGTAAAAATTTTTTAGGGCGTTAAATGTGAGATTGCCTGCAAATATTCCCGGTTTCTACTCGTCTGGGACCCGATCGGTTAATAAAAACACCGTAAAGTTTTTATGTGCGTTTTTCCTACACCTCGGTACCCAAAAAACTCGACCCTATACAATATGAAGGTTCGTTTAGGCCAGGTTCAGGTTGTAGATGCCCCGCACCCTTGAACTTAGAGCCCTACATTTTCTCTGTGGGTCTTTTGAGGGTTGCAGTTACTTATTTTCATTGTTCCCTTCACCGAGATGTAACTTTTTTTGAGTTGTACAATAAACATTTATTGTTTATGTTCGTGAGTCTATTGTGGTCTCAGCTACAGCCTGAGAGGAACATAAATAGGGTAAAAGACATTAAATATTTTACATAAGTGTTCATTGTTTTGATTGGGCTAGGATTGTAAGGTTGCACAATACAAGTGTGTGGTTTAAAAATTGTATTTCTGACTGAAATTTACGTCACTCAATATTTCATAGGGGCAAGGGGCATGCAAGGCTTGCATGTATGTATACCTGATTACCGTTTTTTGAACTCGTAAGTGCAGCTCAACGGTAAACTGGTTTGACGATAAGTTCAGCTGAAGTCAAGGTGAATCCTGGAGGTTTAACCTGACTCATAATGACATACTTTGAAACATTAAATTATAATTTGACACAATTGAAGAAAGTTGTACAAGTTGTTTATGATAGGATCAAGTTATTATATTTTAGACCTGCTATACATTAAAATAGATGCACACACACGGCAGATCTATAAAAACCATAAATTTAGCTAAATAAAAATGGTTTGTTTTTAGAATATTGTTAAAAAAATGTGGAGGTGAAACAGTGTTAAGAAGCTCAAAATATAAGTTGATGTCTAGAAAATCTAATTGTTAACACTTTACTTCTATTGCCAATTCATTTTTGCCGATCGATTCTCTTCTCTGCTCCCTTCTATAGACAAATTTTGTACTTAATTTTTTGTCATATGCAATATTTTAACTTCGTTTAGAATATTGAGCAAAATTCTTTGCCCATCATAGCAACAGGGCAGTTTGCAACAGAATCAACATGGCAGTTTGCAGCAGAATCAAGAGGGCAGTTTGCAGCAGAAGCAACAGGGCAGGTTTATAGCAGAATCAACAGGGCAGGTTTACAGCAGAAACAACAGGGCAGGTTTGCAGCAGAAACAACAGGGCAGTTTACAGCAGAATCAACAGGGCAGGTTTGCAGCAGAATCAACAGTGCAGTTTGCAGCAGAATCAACAGGGCAGGTTTGCAACAGAAACAACAGGGCAGGTTTACAGCAGAAACAACAGGGCAGGTTTGCAGCAGAAGCAACAGGGCAGGTTTACAGCAGGATCAACAGGGCAGGTTTGCAGCAGAATCAACAGGGCAGTTTGCAGCAGAAACAACAGGGCAGGTTTGCAGCAGAAGCAACAGGGCCGGTTTGCAGCAGAAACAACAGGGCAGGTTTACAGCAGAAACAACAGGGCAGGTTTACAGCAGAAGCAACAGGGCAGGTTTGCAGCAGAAACAACAGGGCAGGTTTACAGCAGAAACAACAGGGCAGGTTTACAGCAGAAGCAACAGGGCAGGTTTGCAGACTTGAAGGAACTGCCCCTAAGGCGGTGGATTCCCAGCAAAGATAGCCGGCTTTATAATGTATATGCATGAGAACGCAATATGCTACTCTTACACCCGCAATTCGTTAAACAGATGATGTCTATCGGAATTTATCATAAGCTTGTTCATTTATAATATAATAAATTGAATTGCTCTTCATCTCCTCGACGTACACATATATTTTGACCCTCCTGGAGTCCTTGACTTGTCCTTCATAAATTGCGTCAGGAATTACCGAGGATTGAGTTGCGCTGGTTTATTCCGATGATTCAGCATGAATTACAGGGTCGTGCGCATTACATTTCGTTACTTGACCATTACCATTAGCTGCAGGGCCATTACCATATTTGCGGGACCTAGAGCATCACCAGCTGGACCATTACCATTAACTGACGCTGTTTTACTAATACTTTTTACTTATGTGTCAGACCATTACCATCAGCTGTTATAACTTTACCATTACCTGCTGCTGAATCATTAAGTCATGTCCCAGACCAATACCATCAGCTGCTACAACATTACCATTACCCTCAAGACCAAATAAAGTCAAATACTCGGAACTCTGAGCTAAAATAATGCTAGTAATTATGAAATACTCAAACATCAGAGGATAAATTCCACTTATAGGGTATCGAATACTCAAAACTGGCATGTCGGGAAATAGCGTTAATTTTAGGCATATTTAACGAAGCGCTCAATGAATTGAAAGCTGCGTCTTAGCGAGGCCTGTGACTCGCTCGATATGAGCTCCATGCATCAGATCACGTACGTGCGTACTCACTAAACTCTTTTTAGCGCATTTTCTCATTTATGGAAAAAATGAACTATTGTGCTCGCCATGTCCGTCTGTCTGTCCGTCCGTCCGTCTGTCCGTGACCTCAGGTTTTCGTCGACGAGAAAATGCGCTCTCTGTCACTCACTGCTGTGAGTACTGAGTTATATTTTTTATTATTGTACTAAGAATACAGAGGCAGCTTCTGGCACCTGCTTGTCATAAAAGAGAAATTTTGCCTATGCACCAGTAAAATGCGAAAATACAAGTCAAATACATTATAATAAATGACGTCATGATATTTATTTAAAACTGTTTGAAATTTATCCAAGATCACTTAATTCATTCAACAACTGATATAAATTGATATTTGACTGCCCCATGCTTATAATTACCTAGCACAGCTTCACATTCATTCATACGAGATTGTTAGATAATTATTTAGGACAGCTTGATTATTTCGCAACACTGTTAGGTCTTTATCTACGACTGCTTTACACTAATATGAGACTGTTTTCTATTAATTTATGACTGATTGATAATTTAATAAAACTGCTAGATATTAAAGATATCTATCTATCTTTATTTAATTATCTAGTAGTCTATTGTACTGCCTAATCTTGTCAACTTTATCATGCCGATTTATTGCCGAACAAAATGTCATCCTCTACCGATCTGGGAGACAGCGACGCTGCTGGTGGCAGTGATCCACAGCATGGAAGCTGGTGGTGGCAGTGGTCCACAGCATGGATGCTGGTGGTGGCAGTGATCCACAGCATGGATGCTGGTGGTGGCAGTGATCCACAGCATGGATGCTGGTGGTGGTGGCAGTGATCCACAGCATGGATGCTGGTGGTGTTAGGCTTCAGGTTGTAGCAGAATTTCTGTCCAATTTCGACTCTGTTCAAAATTGATTTAGTTTCTGAACGTAGTAATGTGAAGTGTTATTAAATCTATTTTTTATGACGGGAAATATCTTATTCGCACAACCGCATCATCACACATCACGCACAACTATATTGCTCTATAATTCGCTAAGTCAAGTTGCATCTTCGTACAAACACGTCTCATAGAATTTGTAAATCTTGCTACAACGTATGGTCATCACAACAACATTACCGCGTGATTGTAACCACCATACCAGCACATAACCATCATCAACATATTCGAGCGTAGTCCGCTCAATCATGCCACCACATAAGTATAGTTCGCTAATGTTGATTTTGTCGTATTGTATGCGCCGAGTGCAGCCGTGCTGTAGCTTGCAGCAGCCTTACTTTGCTCTGTGTCCATTCTACAATGTAAGCGATACGCAACTTGATTTATTACAATAAATTGAGCTTTTCTACCGTAAGCTTAGCGTCTCTAGATGCTGGTATAGGGTGTAAACGGAGCTCAAGGATGTTTGTTATGTGCAACAAATATTATTTCAAATCAAACAAGTCGTCATATATAATTTTATTAAATCAATTCACGTTTACAATATTAAATTCAACGTTAGAGACGTTGTTTGAACTGGCCACAAGTTTCCGCAGTAAGGAATGCATAGCTGCATGATATGGACGATGCATTAAAGAGTTAAGCAACGTACGTCGTGTAGCAGCGATCATTGCGCTGGCAAGTGAAAGTGAGCGGCAGGAAAGAAGTGGCCAGGCTTCCTAATTACTTTTTGTTGGCATCTGAACAAATTGACGATAAATAAAAATACTGATCCGAACAATTGTTATTAATGGTGACAACATTAAGTTCCTAGTTTTTTTTGAGGGTACATAAAGATCAATAGTACTTCATAGTTGAACAGTTGTTCCGTCAGCTGTAAACAAATTATTTTCTACAAACATGACATAACCGCAATTAATTGATAAATATTTATTTTTTTCATAAATTTTTTGTAACTAAACTAACAGGAGGGTTATTAAGATGGGGTAAGCAAAATTTAAAAAAAGATGAGCAAAGTCATTACGTAATCAGCCAGAGGAGCGATGCTGCAGGCCGCCAGAGAATAACAATTATCAGAGATCGACAATTAAGGACGCAGGTCACCACGAGTACACCAGGAGATAACCAAGAGTCTTAAAATGTTCAAATTAACTAGGATATTTCTATAGAACTAAGAGTTAAGTTATTTTCTTAATGTAAAATCATGAATTATTTTCAGATGAAATTTAACTTAGGCGCACGAGGGTCAATAACTCTAACTGAATGGAAGCAATTTTGTATCTCAACGAGGAAAAGTTATTTTATTATTTAAGAGAAATGCATTTCGTTTTAGCCAATTTGAAAATTCCTAGAAATTATTTGGAAAATATATTTTTAATTTTTTGTAAATTTCAAAATTAACAAAATTGTTGTAATTAATATTTGCTAACATTTATGGGCAAGAAAGTGTGTGCCTTAAATCTCATTCATGCTACTCTCCACATATTTTGCTTTACCTCTATCAAACATAAATAACAAAGTTTACAGTTCCTGAATGCTACTCAATCCAACTTAGTTTTAAATCGAACAAAATTGTTTTCAGGAACACGTTGAGCGCGATGAGCCGCCCAGACACGCGCACACCTCACCCCACCAGCGCTCGCCAGCGACTGACCTGGAGAAGTGGACGACCGCAGGACGCAAGCGCTGCCTGCTGCTACTCGGTGAACCTGTAGCCTGCACCGGCCCTGAACTCATGAGGATTATCATAAATATTGGTTATTTAACAGCCAATATATTATCTTTCAGAACCATCTGGTGATAATATGCTTTCACAATGAAAGTTTCACTGTGATTCATGCTATGACATTGCACAAATATTATTAATTAATTTTAAAAACACGCATATCATCCCAACACTATCACTAAATTTAGTATATAATTTTACAAATATTCATGGACAACACTTAAAAATATCGAATAAATCGACAGTCAATGCGATATTCCCGCATTGAATTTTCGGCAGCGACATTCTTCACAGTCCAGGACCAGCGGGAGCTCTAGCGTCGTCGCGCAAAAAGAGAAAGACGTTCGAAGCAAAAAGTGAAAGACGCCATAATAACTGTAGTTAATTCCCGCGCCGCGCGTGCTTTACGGAACCGCTTTCGGTTTTGCAGCGCCAACTACGAATACAATGCGCGTGCTGCAAGACTCTGTGTGATACTTGCGCGCCTGTTGCTTGCAGCATTAGGATGCTTGCGCGCCTGTTGCTTGCAGCATTAAGATACTTGCGCGCCTGTTGCTGGCAGCATAAGGATACTTGCGCGCCTGTTGCTTGCAGCATTAGGATACTTGCGCGCCTGTTGCTTGCAGCATTAGGATACTTGCGCGCCTGTTGCAACTATTGTCACACATTAGCACTGGCATTTTGATACTTGTTACGATTGAGATACATGCGTCCAGTTAAAAGTAATGATTACGAAACTTAATTAAACAGATGATGCCGTGATAGTTGCAATGATTAGGATACTTGAGCACAGGTACTGTAACGACTGGGTTATTTTTGAGCCCGATTCAAGTAACAACTGAAAAACTTGAGAAGATTGTACTGGAGCTTCTTTCATTATCATATACGGAAAATGAAAAGTTTTTCATTACGTTAATTATTGATTTCTGAAGATATAAGCCGAACTTATGTCAGACACTTCCATTCACTTCATTGATTTCATTCCTTTACATAATTTGTTCTATCATTTTACTGGAAAAGATTTGAGTATCACACTTGAAGAATTAAACAACCTAAATACTAAGACATTCTCGTTTAGAAACAAAATTTGGGGATTCAACTGTTCACGTTATTTAGTCTGATACTGCTTATTAGAACTTTTAATTTTCAGCCTAATTTCTATGATCTATTTTCATTGTCAACTTGAGGGCCGGAACAACGGAACCAATGATCGAGTGAGAGAAATTTTAACCGAAATAACTTTCCTATGAATGAAGAATGGTGTAAAATTCTCCGCAATATATATTTGAATTCAACGTCACAGTCTCCATATTCCAGCCGCAGGCCACAACATGACGACACACACAATGACGACAGATATTATGACCACGTTTGTTCCACTCAGGCTGTAGCTGAGACAATAATAGACTCACGAACATACACAATAAAAGCTTTATGTGCAACACATGACGACATGCATTACGCCCAGGTAACTAATGGACGTAATTGGTCACAGCCTGCAGTGATAGGATACTTGGTCACAGCCACTGGGAGAAAATACAAATATACATATAGTTACTGCAGTGGTACTTGGTCACAGTCACTGCAATAGTACTTGGTCACAGTCACTGCAATAGTACTTGGTCACTGTCACTGCAATGGTACTTGGTCACTGTCACTGCAATAGTACTTGGTCACTGTCACTGCAATAGTACCTGGTCACTGTCACTGCAATAGTACTTGGTCACTGTCACTGCATTGGTATTTGGTCACTGTCACTGCAATGGTACTTGGTCACTGCTAGTTAGAAAGAAGGACTGTGAAGGACATGCGATCGTTCTAAGAATTCCAGATCATGCAGCCCAAAAATTCGACTAAGTTCTAATTCTAAAGCAATAGAAAATGCAAGCGCTTGAAAAGTAAAAAACTCTCCTATGTAAGTTGGGCAAAATAGAATTGATCTCTTCCTAACATTATGCTTTGTCGTAAGCAACTCGAACTGGAAGAAATTATAAAATCATGCTGACTTCCTCAAAAAATATCCCAGCATTCAAAAAATATTTTCTTTGTTTGGGTATATGTATAAAGCACCACAATAACTGGTTCAATATGTATCTATATATGTTTATGTTCTTTTTGTAAGGCATCTTAAAAAGTCAATAAATTAATTATTCAGGAATGAGTTACATCAAAGGCTAATTTGTAAATCTTTCCTTGCGGACAATATTTTTTCAATTCACTGGTTGATTCAGTAATGAACGAAATTAATTGTGGATTAATTTCTTTTCCTTTACTTGAGGGAATATTTTATCTAAGTCACTGAATATTTCAGTAATTAACGACATTCAAACTAAAGAGTCAAGCAATTCTCCTCACGCTGATACGAGTCAGCTTCTAGTTTATTATAAGAACACCGTTATCCTATAGGATACCGTTCAAAGGATATAAGACACAACTTCAAAAGAGTTGGTGGTTGAGGAAAATAAGCATTCACGGTTGAAATAACATATTTATTAAGAAGAAAAATCTAAAGCTTCTACGTAATGAATAAAACAGCCTGAGAACATGAATTAATAACTACACGAGACACTAAACCTCCCAGTACAGTTCTTGCAAGACTTGCAGGAGTACATGGGAAGTGTGGGAGGCTCAGGACCCGACGTTCGCTCAGTGATGGCCTATTGTGCTATGACGACCTCAGTCTTGTGTCGTTACGAAGGGAAAGGGTGAATTTGCCTGCTGAGACGGCCTGTGCTTGGAAAAAGCGAAGGTACATAGGTTTCGTACGTAGGGAAGTGGTGTCCGTGTCAGCGACAAAGGGGCTTGTTGAATACCTGGTTCTCAAATGCGCTTCTCGTGTACATTTCGCCACCGGATGCATATGTGTCAGTGACGTTTTACTTTAGTTCGATTTTAAAGGCATCTATAGAGTCAGTTGCGGTGTTGGCTATGGACTGTACAGAAGGAAATGTTTGGTAAGCGTGTTTTGATTTTGAAGATCCTTGTAGCTAGCATTCTTGTCTTTTATCGTGTTATGTCCGAAATAAATGATTTTAATTATCGATTATACCCATGTGCAATACTAATTTTATGTAACCATTTTAACCTTTGTATATTTGTTTTGCAGAAACCGATTTTATAAAGAAAAGGAAAACGAAAAATCGTGTATTCAATCCTTCGGCATACGAATATACGTAACAGGGCTCGTCTTCGTAGCGAATTTTAAATGTTGTTAAAGTTTGAACTCGTAGCTCACTACTTTGTAAATAATAAAACATTACATATCAAATAATAAGAGTTGAAGTTTCAAATTAGTTTGTAAGTTTATATCGCACTTCTAATCACATGTTTGAACTTGAAAACTAAGTCTTCCAACTCGCTTGCTTCCAGAATTACGCGACGTGGTTCACACGTCAACAAAAGTTAAAGAGAAAGTGTAGGGGAAGGAAAGAGACAGGAGCAAGACGCCTGGGTGGAGTTGTGGTGAAAGTGCAGGTGTGAGTGTAGCGCCAGACGTCACTGGAGGAGTGTACAGGAAGTGCGAGTGTGTAGAGCCAGGCGTCACTGGAGGAGTGTGGAGTGTACAGGAAGTGCGGGTGTGTAGCGCCAGGCGTCAATGGAGGAGTGTGGAGTGTACAGGAAGTGCGATTGTGGAGTGTGCAGGAAGTGCGAGTGTGTAGAGCCAGGCGTCACTGGAGGAGTGTGGAGTGTACAAGAAGTGCGGGTGTGTAGCGCCAGGCGTCACTGGAGGAGTGTGGAATGTGCAGGAAGTGCGAGTGTGTAGCGCCAGGCGTCACTGGAGGAGTGTGGAGTGTACGGGAAGTGAGGGTGTATAGCGCCAGGCGTCACTAGAGAAGTGTTGTACACTCGATCAAAGTTGCACCCACGATCATGGAAGCTTCACGTATTACGCCACTCTGCAATGTGGCGTTCAGTCTTCTTACATCATATCTTGGACAATTTGGATTTTATTGCACGATCTGCAAAACAATCCGTTGACTTTCTGCATGGCTATTGTCGAATTCAGACTTATCGTCTGAAATTTTTAGTTTTTTTTTATAGAACGTTCATTACGCCGAATGTAATATCACTTTGGATATTAACCAGACAAAAAACAGTGTTTAACCTTTTCAAATTTGTCTTGTCATTTTAATTATTTTTGATGTTATTTCATATTAATATAATTTGTTCCGTTGATAGGTATAACACAATTTATCCAGGTTTGTAATGTCAACAATACCGATAGCGTGAAAATTTCCTATTGGGGTTGACACCTCCGTTATCCAGCAAGAATACTGTTGAGGATGTCATCAATAGTACCATTAACAGTACCGTTGGCCAGGATACCTCCTATGGCCTCCTGCTGTTGTCGGAACGTATCGCAGGACGACAGGAGCAGCCGAAGACAGCAGTCGAAGAACGCTAGTTGTCGCCCAAGTTCGTTGCGAAGAGGTAACGTTAGTTGACTAACATCGATCGAGTTGGAAAACTGCACGCAAGTTTGTCGGTTTTGCTCCAGTGTTTGTCGCAAAGCTTGGGACACGTTGAAGGAAGCGAGGGTGTCGTTAACCGTTCTCATGTCGATCTCGTCCGTCGCTGTCAACTGAAAAAGGAAATAACAAATATTAGTAGGAGGAATGCAGGGCTGAATTATTCCGTTTTCATTCGAACGACTTTCATTCCGTGCCCATTCAAACGATTTTCATTCCGTGCCCATTCGAACCATGAGTGCATTCTGGGATAGAAATTAGATCTGAATATAAATCGCATACTGCATTTAGTGAGAAATGAATAATTACAGGAAAGCCTACTGCAGATGGCGTTGAAACAACGTCGATCACGAGTAGATTTTGGTAAACCAATAAGGACTTAGCGAATGAATACATGTTGCATGCACATTTGTATTCTTGTTGAAAAAAGAGATAAGGGTAATAGTTATATTTTCGAACACCATGTCAAGCATTATTAATTAGCTCACAAAGGAAGACCCCCGGAGAGCGCAGCCGGCAGCGAAGACTTCCTCTGCACTGCTGGCTGTCGTCGTCTGCCGCGCAAATGGTCCGCCCTCTAGCAGCTGCTCAGCGAAACAGTGCTAAGATTGTTGACCCGAAACTCTCATGTTTTTTGTCTTTTTTATTGAATAAAATTGAAATTCATACGAGATTGCTTCTTCTTCGTCGAATAATGAAAATGAAACAGTTATTTGTCATAGATTGTGCAGCGTTTTTGAAAGTAAATCAATGAAATAAATTTTTCATGTAAGAAATAAAGAATTAAATTATGGAGTGAAAACGTTTAAATTATTTCGGAGCGTTTTATGAAAAATAACACGGCCATCAAAATTACAAATTTAAGTTAACATGAAATTGATTGAAAGTTTTAATTGCACAATATTTCAAATGGTAAAGGAATGAGTCCATTGAAATCAGGAAAAATTATTCAATACCAACCATTAAACTTCGACCCGAGCGCTGCTCGACATAACTTTCTCTCTTGCTTCGTATTGGGCGAACTCCAGCTCCTGAGACGCCAGTGTTGAGTTTATACTTTAGCGTCTCTTGGACTTCATCTCTGGCGTCAAATTCATTGCTAGCCTCATCACTTGTCAGAAAAAAGTTTGTTGCAAAATCCAGCAGAGCAAATGCGCCTCCAATGACATAGTCGACGTCTCGACGCGTGTTACTCCAGTTTTCAGATATATTCAACTCGGAAGAGTATTGTGAGTCGTAATTATCGTAATCTGTATAGACCATGTCTGCATGGTCATCATTTTCATCGAAGTCTGCTGGGAGTAAACTACGACTATTACCATTGATAGGCAATTGCTTAATCGAATCGGTTTTTTGCTCAAGTTCTGTTTCTGAAGAAAACATTTGACTCATTTCATTAAACGTATTTTTCGCATCACTGTTGCCAGACATTAGCGGGTTAACCCAATAATTGTTGACATCTTCACCGCTTTTTATGTCGAGGGACGACGAAACCGTCGCGTATAAATCGGACTCAGTATCACTTGCAGCCTCCGTTTCATTGTGTCGGTTTATCTGTTCAGGATAAACATTCCAGCGATAGAAGTTGAGGTGACGATGTTTCGATCTTCCGCGTGGACGGAAAGGCCTGAGATAGACGACGTATGGGGTGCCATACGTAGAATTTTGAGACATGGTCTTGTTTGTCTCGAACAAGGAATTATTAAATGTCATAGGACCAGCATGGTAAAAAATAGGGATAGAATCTGGGTAAGGTATCCGAGAAGATGGAAGGGGAGGCTCAAGCCAAGGATTTAAAGAAAACGGAAAGCTAGGACGGATTGGAAATCGGGGAAGAGGAGGTGGGGGGAACGGAGGTAATACTAATACAGTAGGATATTGAATACCGACTCCAGTTCGAGGGATATAAGGGACAAAGTGCCAATAATTCCCGTCCCAGTACCATTTTCCTTCCGTGGGATTCAACGAGGGTGTGTCATCGTAATCAGACGGCCTCTCTGACCCGTAGTAGGGGTTGCGTGGGAAACTTGAGTTGGGGATCGATGGCCATCCTCCAGCGGTATTTGATCCAGAACCCATACTTCCTCCTCCCGTATTCCAACCGTTATTCCAGCCAGACCACCATCCATTGGGGTTCGTTAGGTTGCTGTTTGGATTAGTCCTATTCGGTTCAGTGCCTCCATAGCTTCCTCCAGTGCCACCGCCGGTGCCAGTATTGTTGACTCTCGGAGGAGTTGTAAACTTTGTACTCGTTCTTATGGAAGTCGTTGTTCGTTGAGTATTTGTGGCATTCGTTGTTCTTTGAGTTGTAGTGTTGGATGTACCTAAAGAAGTTGGCACGGGAGTCGTTGTTGCCGTTGATGCGGAAGATGTTATCAATGGAGTAACTGAAGAAAAAGTTGACGAGGCAGATGATGGCGTACTGATAGGAAGAGTTGTCGATGAAATTTCTGCTGTTCGAGTTGTTGACAAAGTAGCTGTTGACGCCGTAGGCGATGTGCTCACGGTTTGAGCTGTCGATGATGTTCTTGTTGTTACTGGATCAACGCCTCCATATGAACCACCAGTTCCACCTCCTGTTCCGTTGCCACCTTGCCCTCCAGCACCAATTCCTGCACCTGAGCCACTTCCGTCACCAGACCCAGGGCCTGGACTCCTGCTTGTTGAACGCGTAGTAACTGCAGATGCAGTAAATCTCGTAGTTTCCATCGTAGAAAGAGCTGCTTCTGTAGTTGCCGATCCAGATGTTATCTGTGGAGAAATTGAAGATGAGGTAGAAGTCGCTGAGGAACTGAGGGGCTGAGATAAGGTGGTTGTTAATGTCGTAAATAAGGAGGTGTTAAACTGAGTTGTGGAAGAAAGAGCAGGCGAAAGCATTGATGATGACACGTTTGTTGTAGCCGTAGATGACGTTCCGCCAGCCTGAAGTGTGGACGAAATTCCAGACGAAAGCGTTGATGACGAATTGGTTGAAGGCGCCGTAGATGACGTGCTGACAGGCAGAGTTGTGGGAGAAAAAATGGACGAAAGCGTTGATAACGAATTGATTGTTGGTGTCGCAGATAACGTGCTGCCAGCCTCAGTTGTGGATGAAATTCCAGACGAAAGCGTCGATGCCAAAGTGGTTATTTGTGCCGCAGATGACGTGCTGCCAGCCTCAGTTGTTGATGAAATTCCAGTCGAAAGCGTCGACGACAAAGTGTTAACTGGTGCCGCAGATGACGTGCTGCCAGCCACAGTTGTGGATGAAATTTCAGACGATAGCGTCGATGACAAAGTTGTTATTGATGACTCAGATGACGTGCTGCCAGCCTCTGTTGTTGATGAAATTTCAGACGACAGCGTCGATGACGAAATTGTTGTTAGTGTTGTAGATGACGGGCTGGAAGACTGAGTTGTGGATGAAATTCCTGACGAAAGCGTCGATGCCAGAGTGGCTGTTGGTTCCGTAGACGAGGTGATGACCGTGGAACCTACTGTGCTGCCAGCAGTCAGGGTTGAGTCCACCTGAGTCCCTGATATTGAAGCAGAAGTAGTGGTCGATGACTGAGTTGCGAGAGAGGAAGAAGAAGCGGTCGAAGTGGGCAAAGTGAAAGGTGTTCCAATTGAAGATTGTTGTGAAGTACTTGTAGTAGATATCCCAGCATTGGAACTTACCGTTGCTGGTACTGAGGCTGAGGTACTGGAAACTGGAACACAGGGCACAGGTGATGCCGTTCCCTGGTGAGAAAAATCAATGTCAAGAACTGGCCATTAAGTTGCTTGGGACAGTAGTGATTAAGCGGACTAATGACAGATTTATATGAGGACGTGCCTATGTAAATTTGCGTTTTCAATTAAAAAAACGAATCGTTTAATCCCTAAATTTCGCTTGAAAGACATATCGTCTCGGCAAAAAGCATGTAAATGTATCCCTTCTCACCCCGATGTTGTTTAGATCTTCCCTGAAGACAAGCTGCCACAGGACCTCCTCCCACGGTCTCGTCAGCTCCGCTTCCAGCCGACGGCTGTTCCACACCGGGGAGTTCCAGACGGCGAGGCAGGGCTCGCTCCACCGCGCGATGGAGTTGTTTACTCGCTGCGCAGCCCGGTCTCCAACGCAGGTCGATAGACGCTACATAACGGTCAAGACAGTGAAAATTTTTGTCTAATGTTAAAAAAATTTGACTTTATAATTTAATAACTATCTTCTGTTATTGATGCATTGTTGATACTGACGTTTATTCATAAAAATTCTTAGTTGAGAGCATTTTGCATCAGAAAGACGATGCTGGCCACAGAAATAACTCACGGAAAATTCATCATCAGTGAGCTGCGGTACTCCGCTCAGCTGCTGAGCCTCAACGCCATGCAGGGCAAGAGCGACCACCAGTAACGCTGCACCACTTGACCCCCTGCAGGAAATAATTGACAGACATGACCGAACTCTTTACAAAAATTTATTGTTATAGTTTTCGAAGCCACATGAAATAATTACCGTCACATCGATTTCAAAGTAATTTTAACGATATGATCATACATCGAGTAAACAGATAAGAATTTCATACTCATACGGAATGACTGTTATATACCGCAGAACAAATGTACTTCTCAAAATAACCGCAAAAAATTAATGAGCTTTTGTTTAATCCTATAGTTAGCATTGCCAAACTCATCGTGAATACTTTCTCGCAAATCCAAAGTTTGCAAAATTTTCAAACTCATCGCGAATGTTTCCTTTCTGATCCACAAAGAGTGTTTTTTTAACTCACCGTGAGATAAAGAAAAGCATTTTGTTTACATCAAGAGATCAAACTTTTGTGTGGAAAACAATTTTATTGCTCACTTGTGGCAATGAAGACCGAGTAACCATTGGAAAATTGAAAAAAATTTCATGTTAGAACATAGATTCCGACTATAACCAACATAATTCGTATAAATTACGGTTCTCGTAGTAGTCATAATAGTTTTAATGCTGATCCGTATAACAGAGGTAAAATTAAAAATCTGGAAACTGATTAGTCTATGAAATGTTGTCAATTTCTCATTTTTTCATTACTTTAAAATTTGCATAATTCAGCAACAAGGTAATGTCTATGAAAATTATGGTGTAAAACATTTCATATCATTATACCTATGATAATTAATACTGTCGGAAATCAATCATCATTTATAAAAGGGTATTCATATATGCAAGTTTGATTGAAGACCAGAGCATGAATTTTATTCAAAATTGTATTATTCATTTTCTTTTCAATGATTCGAATAAAATTTTGCCGGCACCGGGAGACCATAAGCAGGTTAAGAAATAATATTGTAATAGAATACGATGCACCGAATATTCAACATTCATTTTCCAGCAATTGAAGGTTTCATAACAAATAAATTTGAAAATTTGAAGTGAAATAAGTACAAATAATTAGTATAGCGGATACAAATCCAAAATCAAAACTTATGAATACTCAAAAAATAATTTAAACTTCCTGAAGAATCCGGTGGTTTGTAGGTTGATAGCTTGAGACTCCATCTCGATAATGAGGGCCTCAACCCTAACAAAATTTAGAGTCGCCCCAGCTTCTGGTAATCCAAATCAGAAGCTGACGCCTCTGTAAATGTTCACTGGGAACTATCGCCAGTCATGAAACTTTGCGGCACCAGCGGTTCCGCGTAGCTACGAGACTGTCGATGGCTGAAGCCCTCATTATCCAGACGTAGTCTTCAGCCATCAACCCACAATCCGCCGACCTTCAATTATTTTCCGAGTAATCTTAGGTTTTAATTTTCAATCTGTATATTTGTAACTATTTCACTTCAAAATTCACAGATAAAGTATTATAAAACTTTAAATCACCGAAACGACCGTCAATTACTTTCCGAGTAATCTCAGGTCTTAACTTTCGATCTGTATAGACCAATTATATGTAATTATTTCATTTCATTATTATTTCATTTCAGTTAATATGTCCTTTGGTAACCTACTTATTGATCTCCCAGCGCCTGTAAAAATTGTATCATTAAAAAAAATAAAAAAAAAAACATTGTTGATAAAAAGCATGCTCTGGTCGTCAATCAAACGTGTATATATGAATAATCTCTCCTAAATGTAACAATATGAGTTTCATATACATCTTCTATTTGATGCATACTGAAACCTATAATTCAGAATAAATACTAACAGTAAGTAACTTAAACTTTAAATACGGTACTTACATTATGGAATATCAGAATTTTGATCGAGCGTTGAAGGAAAGAGTTACAATAATTGCAGCCTGGAGAACAATACGAGCGAACGGAGCAGACCTGCCCTATGAACTGCCAGCCGACGACTGTAGCGCTTGTCCAGCGACTCGCATTCTTAAGAAAATGGGGCACGTGGAACGTGGCACGGTCTCTTGCTTAGCATATCTTAGAGCACGTATAGCACGACACGCCTCTTGCTTAGCATCGCTTGAAGCATATATGTATAGCACGGCACGGTCTCTTGCTTAGCATAACTTAGAGCACGTAAAACACGGCACGTCTCTTGCTTAGCATCGCTTGAAGCATTTATAGCACGGCACGTATCGTGTTTCGTATGGGTTTATTAGTGTTTATGCATATAACTAAAATATGTTTTAATTTATTATAAATTAATATAGTACATTTGTTGTAATCAGGGTACTAAATTTGGCTGAACTTTGTACTAGAAATTTAAATTCCATCCGTAAAATTTTATCAAAGCTAAAAAATTAAAATGTTGAGCAATCTTTAAACCACAACAAAAGTTGAAAACAAAGCACTCGATTGATATTTTAGCCATGACACAAAACTTCGTATCAGACGGTGTTCTATTAAGTGATGAAGTGATGAGTAGACACAGAGGTTTGTGTACATAGAGTACGCAATGCGTTCACCATAGTGATGACCTCGTCAATGCAACGTATCAAGAATGTATTGATTAGCCATTACTGAATTATTAATCCGTGACACCAGCAGCCTGACGATCTTCAGCAAGTAGGTCGACACAGCTATTATCCGACGTGATAAATATGAAGCCAGTGAAATACTAGGCAGTTTGTACACGGAAATACGGACCGTCGATATCTCTATTATTTTCTCGAATATAAGATACTTTATAGCGGTAATTACTGCACTTCATCACTGCACTCCATACTTCATAAATCTTTGTAGGTGTGAAGTATGTGATGATATTGCATGGGATCTCAAAAGGTTTTTAAATTTTTTTGATACATAGCATTATAAGGTAAGTTATAAATTAATTTTCATGGAAGTATTTATATACAAATAATATGCGTTTGAAAATTACTTTTTAAAGACATCACTTCTAAAGAGGCCAGTGTCACCGATCTTACTAATGTACAATGAATTTATTTTTCTATTTGTAGGTATATAAAAAATTATTTCTTAACATTTTTTAATGTATACGTTTTTACATGTTTTTACATTATTCATTATGTCAATTGATTCATGCATAGTCTTCAACTTCACGTAAGTGTGCAAAATTTCAGATCGATTGGACAGGTAGAAGCTTAATGTGGTAAATATCGATTAAAAGATTTGTAGCAGACAAACAAACAAGAAGTGAAGTTAAAGAGAAGTGTTGTAAAAATAGCTATGAAGGACCGATTATGATTATAAATTAATTTTGATAAATAGAGAAAATATACGGGCACGATTACTCCTGATGTGCAATAAAGGTAAAACTGTCCACGCAACTAAAATAAATTCTATCGACATAATTGTATTCAAAAGAGATTTTACGGCTCGTTAACACAAATATAGGAATGTATGAAACCCTATATTAAAATGTGCATGAATTTTTTAACTACCTGCTCTTCGAGAATTTTCAGTGTGAAATCACTTTTCGGTGCTGAGAAATATCCGAAAATTCAATTCGAGATTTTTTTTATATTTTACGAGTCCAGCAAGCCAGGTCTGTACGTGTAAAAATATCACTAAATTGTTCAGGTTGATGTACTAAATAAAAAAGCAGTAAAAAAATTTTAAATTGTGCGAGTAAATCTGCGTCATTAATATTATCAATGGTATGGAAATTATAAATTAAAAATTCAGGTTAAAAATACATTTTAACAGAACACTTTCTTCCTATGAAATACAATCGTAAATCTTACTACCATGGTTTGAAATTAGCTTCCTTGCTATATTTTGCATAAAACGTTCGTAACTTTAAATTTGGTATTAATTTAGAATGTTTTTGTATTATCCTCCTTCAATACTCGAACAGATGTATTTATGTAAACCATATCAACCTACTTCACAGTTCTCAAAAAACAACAACTGTGATTGCTTTCAATAAATACTGAGTAGTATAGTTGAATAATAGTAGTAAAGAACGTAGAGTTTAAGGGCCTAAATTCTACATGTTTCATACGTTTGTTCAACCTTAATTATTCGGTAAGGTTAGGAATAATTTGAATAAATGAACTTAGTACTGAATCAAATATTATAATTAATCTGAATAACTTATTTGAGCAAAAAATCGAATAATCTTGTGCAGGGAAATAGACATGATAACATACCGGAACGATGCTGTCAATGTAACTACCATTTTTTTAGAGCAGACACCCCCTGAAAAAAGTTTCTTTCTAACAACCAACGAATGTTTCAAAACAAGTTATTTTGTAGCCAACGAAACTGTTCGTGAATAAACTAGCATAAAATATTGGGTTAATATCACGCGAGTAAAGATCTATAAATTGACTCTAGAACTAAGTGCTCTTGAAAATTAATCATCACATTCAACAACTGTTCAAAGAGGCTTGCCTAGTCAGCAACTGGTAAATGGGCATAATACCTTGAGTAGCTGTCATAATGTCTGGATTTCATATGGGCATAATACCTTGCATATCGGCTGTCATTATGCAAGAATCGGCAACAGGCCATGGGCCTATTTCTTCAACGCCGACACTTCTATTCTATTCTATGGTCTTCATATGGGCATAATACCCTGCGTACCTGTCATAATGCCTGTTCTTCATATTACGACAAAGTGATAACTTCGGCGACGAGTGCACTTTTGTGTCACGGTAAACATCCATGCACCAACTCGAATTTCAAAAAATGATATATTGACAGCAATTTGATTTTAATTTCATATTTAATACGGAAATGCCCTACTGCAACTTATTGATATGTAAATCAGAATTACAAGGTTATTAAGAAAATTGCGTAATAGCCATTTGACTCTCCAACCGTTATTTAATTTTAAATAAAAATTTTAATTATCCTCTAGACGTGCAGTTTTTCTAGTAACAGTTCCTTGCACGTTACCGATGACTCAAAGACAGAGTGAGACTCGACTTCTTATCTCCTTATCAAGACTGAGGTTATAACACTCAACACGGAGTATCATCTCTACGGTGGCTTGATACCGACGCTATAATTAGGAATAAAGAGGAAGCGGCAGTAACGGGAATAACGAAATGCCACTAGCGTCCCCATAAATGCTACTTGTGTCTCTATCTAATGCCACTGGCCACTCCATCTCATGCCACTCACGCGACTCCATCTCATGCCACTCGCGACCCTATCATATGACACTTATGAATCCATAAATGACACTTGCATATATGCATCGGTATCTCGTAACTCGTTTAGCCATCAAATGGTACTCATATTCATGTCTGCGTCAAATGGCGTTAGCGTCCTATCAAATGCAGCTTATATTCCATCAGCCGCCATTCCATCCATGCCTCTATATTAAATTGATTACTACAAATACCATAATGATCTACACCAAATGTCATTATTGTCTACATCAAATTCCACAGTTTAATTTATCAAATGCCTCTTTTGGCTACATAAAATACCGTTCGTATCTGCGTCTAATGCATTTTATATCTCCATTAAACTTTTTGTTTGGAAACCTTGCAGTTTTGGTAAGATCATCAAACAAAAGAGTTTTATACACAAGCAACACAGAACAAATCAGGGATACTCCCTGCTGACGGGTATGCAGCACACACAGCAAAGATGCTGATAGCTTATCAGCTGATGCAGCCATCTTTACATGGATGTTTGTTGAGAATAGGAAGCATTGTTTTGAAGCTTGTATACAAATTCATATTCATCTGTTGGAGCGCACAGTCGAAGAATAGGTATTACTACATCCAAGCATGTTTCAATTCTGCTTAGTTAAATTTGAAATAAATATTTTTTTCTAAAAACATTTAAATATTTTGTTGTATGAAATAGAGAGTTTAATAACACTTGATATTAGTGTCAAATAGAACATTCTCAAATCAAAATATCTATAAATATTTGAGATAGTGAATATATGAAGCGATATTAGACAAAAATAAGAGTGACAAATCAGTATAGATTAAACATAAGTTTTTGTGTGGGGGTGATGTATGGGCGAAAAAGATTCCCCGTACATTCTCCAGATTGCCAAGATAATTTAATGAACTAATAAAGAAACAAGTACGTTCTGAAAAAATTACAATGCGCTTTAATATAATATTTTGCCACCATAATAATGAACAATTCATGAACCTTAACAATGGTTCGGGCAGCAGTGAATAATAAAAACGAATCAACACAGTTAATCACAATTAAAGATATACACAAGGCGCAATGTCCTACAATTCTGAAGGAGCACGGAGAAATTCCCACAATCTTTGGCACAAATACAAGTCAGTTCTATTAGGATGTTGTTGTCAATATTGCGATAGCTGCAAAATAGGTCATATTCTTAATGTTGTATTAAAAAAGTTTATCTTAAAGTCAACGCACTTTATCAAATGGCTGATATTCACGTACATAAACAACAATATTATTGTAGATTTCAATCTAAAAATATTATCGATATTTGAAATTACACCTAAGAGATTTTATTATATCGGTCCCTAACTGCGGGTGATGGCAACACTCGAGGACATAAGTGCGGGTGATGGCAACACTCGAGGACATAAGTGCGGGTGATGGCAACACTCGAGGACATAAGTGCGGGTGATGGCAACACTCGAGGACATAAGTGCGGGTGATGGCAACACTTGAGGACATAGGTGCGGGTGATGGCAACACTCGAGGACATAAGTGCGGGTGATGGCAACACTCGAGGACATACTGTAAGTGCGAGTGATGGAAACATACATCCACAGTCAAACAAACAGGAACCCAATAATAGAAAAAGAAGAGTTCACATGACATTTATCTTTAAGATAGTTTGGGTTCATCCGCGACCGTAAAGAGGTCGGTCTCAGATAAGAACCAGAACAAACTGGCTGATATCAGCTCCTCCCAGTGAGTGCAGATGGAGGAAAAACATTACGCGATAAAATGCGTACAATTCCGTTTTGCCGCTAAAAAGACTGTGAACGGCTTATAGTTATTATTATTGGTTGACAGATTAGAGAGTATAAGCAGCAAAATCGAGATGTGCATAAATCAATTCCTTTCTCGAAGGTGCCATGAGCTTTCATAAAAAATATAACTCAGTATTCACTGCTGTGAGTGACAGAGAGCGCATTTTTTCGTCGACGAAAACGTGAAGTCACGGACAGACGGACGGATGGACAGGACGAGCACAATAGCGCCTTTTTCCGTAAATGAGAAAATACGCTAAAAAGGTGCACGATTGAACAGAAAGGTTGGGAATGTTATTTATAAACCGTCTCTGTAAAAACATCAATCAAGTCAAGCTTGTGATAACATTTTCACATGATCTCAAAATAAAGAGGTATCAGTGGCCCATGATAAATGTATAATATACTTTTACATGTGATAGTCTTCTATATAATATTATAGTCTGTGGCATCAGTGCGCACTGCGGTTCGTCGCTTTCATCAAGATGTCGTGTCAGATGAATATATATATATATATATATACGCAATATTGAGAAGGCAATATAGTTTACCAGTAATCTGAGTACACAAGAGCGTCGTTATGTGTCGCTGCAGCCAGCGACGTTGCGCAGTAGAGGGTGCGCAGTGGCACCCCGATGTTGTTCTCTGTAACGTCTGCGACACGACCTACCGAGCTGAGTCAGGACAGGGGATACAGTGAATTACAGATCACGAAAGCTATTGGATAAATATTCACAATATTAATATTTATGGAAATAAATTATGCAACTTCTATTCATTTTTAAGGGCATTGATTTTCAAGATAGTATAGTTTCATTTATAAAATAATATGAAATACAATAATAATAACAATAAAACATAATATAAACCATAAATAATTATTATATTTATAAATAATTATAATTATAATTATTATATATAAACATAATATAAACAATAACGGTATTTAACAATAAGAGTACGAATGCAGAGTCTATTATATAGAGCGCATGAAATTCGAAACCATTCAGCAAAACATGCGCTCAGAAACATCTAATTATAAAATCGTGTTGATATTGATGTCGTACCTCTATATTTTCCTAAGGATATAATGCATGTTTTTCAAGTTGAATATTTTAACACAGATAATGATTTCTTTTACAAGCTGCCAAATTGGATGCTTCAATCGAAAAACTTGTCTATCTTTGTACGTTAAAAATAAATAAAAATAAAGATAAAATTATCTCACTTCCATTTTGCCAATGAGTATCCAAATCCGGTGGCCGTACCGAGCTAAGGGAGGAATAATGTATTTGGAACTATTTCTAGTGATCATAATTCAATAGACTCTATTGATAAATTAGTATAGGGCGGAAATTAGACGCACAATAATTTAAAATAATTCACTAATTACTTTTGCGTGAATAAAATAGTCACGTCTCGGCTAGGTTTCAATTGAAAAACTCGTCTTTCTCTGTATGCAAAACAAAAATAATAATAAAGAGAAAATTATTTCAATCCCTTTTTCCAAACTAATATCCAAATTCAATTCTGCAAGATTAATTCAAATGCAGGCAGGCCAACAACATCCATGAATTAAATTGGATACATATGGAGAGTGCTTCAAAAAACCACTTAAGAAAATCATAACACGGCAAAATACACCACCAATAATTCTAACCAATTTCGGTGACGGCAAAGGGGTCAATCTAATTTTGCAATTTCACAATTCACTGTTTTGTCGTTTCCAGGACGCCTAATTTAGAGGAATCTCGTCACCAGCTGCAGTCCTGTCCGTTCATTGGCTACGAGTAGAGGTGTGTGTGTTCCAACCAATAGCAGGCCGTCTTCACATCACGCCATGTCTTGCTTCAGTCGCTTGCAATGCCAGTTCGTGCAGGATGTTCTAAGTTTCCAGTTCTTAACCTAAACCAATAATATCATGCAGCAATTTTATTCTAATGTTTATTGTTAAATTTACGGAACTTAACATTGAAATTGTTGCTTTCATTAGGTAAAAAATGACATTGACATGATTCAAATAAAGTACTATGAGTACAGTAAGCTCATGCTCCAGCAAGCAACAACCGACCCGAGGTTATCTTGCAGCAATCCAGCAGTGTTGACCTTGCGAGCAGGAAAAGGCCTGCAGTTCTGCAGAATAGCTTGGCAGACTTGGTGCTTGTGCTCTTCAATATTGCAGACTAAATTTGATGTTACACACAGAACAGTAGTTAAACTTGCTCGACATCAGGTTACTGAGGTGAGCATCAGATTTTCGCAAGACCGACAATCGTGCAGAATGATAGGAAGTTCGTAACCAGCCGGCGCTCTCGTAGACTGAGAATGAGGTGATCAAAAGACTTGAAGACTTGAGTTAATTCGAACTAAACTTCAAACTTGCAAATTTCCTTCAGTTGACGTGCAGACTGACCAGTAGTCGTGCCGAATTGACGTGAGCGATGATGTAGACTGCCAAGAGCCCCTGCCAAGAGCAACCCTAATTATGTGTTGAAGATAACGTAAAGTTGAATTTCGTGCACATACTAGGTTTAAAATATGTCAACTGAATTCCTAATATTTAAGAATAAGGTAAATAATAGATTAAATAAGTCGTTTGTCCGATCCTTGAATGAGAGTCACACAAAATATGCATTAAAAAATATTCAAATTAAAACATCTGTATTCCCTTTGGAGGAAAATTTTGCAACGATTGGGTTTACCGAAGATTTTAGAGCTGCATCTTTTTCAATGCATATTTTGACCGACTTTTTCTGAATTGAAGGCTGGCGGTACAAAATTGGGCGATGTTTCGCGCAATGTAATACAAAAGTGCATAGATGACAGTAGATAGTTTACTAGCTGACAGAATCATAGGTGAGACGATTATGCATATGAAGGCTACATCGAAAGTCTTATGGTGTGAAGTAAAAAAAATTGTAGTCACAAAGTGAAACTTTCCGGTTATTTTGCTATAAGACTAAGGTTTGTGTTAGAGAAACACCGAAAGTTGGCTTTGTAGAACGGAATCTACGGAAGGTGGATCTTCGCTTGCGGTCATACCGCAGGTATTGTACGTCTGCCTCTTATGTATTACATGTTTGGAAAAAAATATTTGATGTGACCAAATATACACCAACATACGCAATTCATATGACTAAATGTTGTTACAATTTACCTTCAGAGAGGCTTTTATCGGTAATTTGTCCTCTTCCAATAGATTCAAAGGAATTGAAAGCGAGAATTGTACGTCTGGTAGCTTCCCTTAAAAAACCGCAGTCGCAATGCAGTTAGCAACCGAGCTCGAGTCTTGTTGCTGTGGGAGTCAGCTCTATCTTTATCTGCTTGCACTAGACCGCATAAATTTACCAAAGCTGAGGCCGTATTCGGAGTGGTGGTTACGTTATCTTATGAATTGCAGTCTATGACAGCTCACAATATCTTGCCTATTATCAGATTTCATTCTAGTAAACGTTTGAAAATAATTTTTAAAGCAAGGAATTCTTTTTTAGCGCTGTTTCTCATTTATGGAAAAATGCCCTATTGTATTCGTCATGTCCGTCTGTCCGTGACTTCATGTTTTCGTCGACCAGAAAATGCGCTCTCTGTCACTCACTGCAGTGAGTACTGAGATATATTTTTTTCGTAAGGGGATGATAGATAAAACGAGCCCATGGTTTCGTTTTGCATAGTTATTCACATATATATGGTATAGTCACTTAGTCATTTTTTTTTACTGTAATCATTACGCTAAATAATTAGATGAATTGACGAGCACAGCGTTAAGTGTAGCACTGTTTTACGCATTTCTACTTGAGTTTCCTTAATTCGTGACATTCAAGATATTTCATGCCGAAAAAATGCCCGGAAATGAATGTTTACATGTGAATTTTTTTCTTTATGTACTTAAAACTTCCTTTTACATGCTCTCAGATTAAAGTTTACTCGTTTTTTTTATTACTCACTCATCGCTCATCGATGATTTCTCATAATTAATTTTTCAAAATTCAGTAATCAATATTCATAACTCATTTATTACTCACTATTCTCTACTCCATACTCCCAGAAACACGGAACTTTTAAATCTAGCTTACAAAACCGTTTCTTAATGCATAGGTTGGCAGATATTTCGTCTCTCTAGATAGAAAAACGACGAACGTTTGATAGCAATTTTCTTCCTCTTATCGCACTGGGTAAGAAAAGTTAAACGTTTTTACACAACCTTTTTGTTTTTGCGCGCACTGTATAGAGAAACGATTATATAACGTTTGGACACAATCTTCAAACCCTAGCTGGTCGCACTGGATAGAGAAAAGTCCGACGTTCAAACGCAATTTTCTTTCCCCTTTCGCACTGGATAGAAAAATTTGAACGTTTGGCAGCACTCTTCCCTTCGTCTCACCGGCTAAAAAACGTTCAATGTTTGGAAGCAATCATTCTCGTCGTACTGGATAGGAAAATGTTGAACGTTATGAAGCACTCTTTCTCTAATTGAACATTATTTGAACTGAATATAAAATTTGAACGCTTGGGCAGAAACGTCTTCTCGTCGCACAGGGTAGACAAATGTTAAACGTTTGAAGTAAACCTTTCCTCGTCACACTGGGTAGAAAAACGTGTAACGTTTTGACGTAAACGTTCCTATTCTCACGTTGAGCAGCACGAACCGTCATCATGATAGTCTTGCCATATCACGCGAAGCCAGAGTGATCCATTTTCTGGGCTTTTTAATTTTCCTTTCAGCGGACTTCTATATTTGATTTCTGTATTCGTTTTTCCTTCTGTATTTCTACAGCTGCTGCGTATGTTTTTGGATGCATTAAAGCTGTTCTGGATTCTAACATCTGTATGTATGATTCCTGCATAAGGTAAACATGTTCCTGCCTGCAATTCAATACCTGAATTCCTCGGAAATGTCCGTTTTCCCACTATATCATCAACATAAATAAATACCGACTTAACTAATTCTGTGTTATGGAATTCCTGGATAATGAAATCCAGGACCTGATTTTTGTTATTGTAAATCTCGAATGTTGATACATAGTTCATGGTGATTTGCTCATGTTTCGATGGTTCAGTATTTGATACAATGTGTTATATATCAGGCCACTATAATCTTCAGAACGCGATACTCATGCAGCATATCTTCCGGTACATGTTCGATGATACTTCTAGTGACTGACAGTAATGTCCTCACTCTCTACTTTTGGGGTTATTTTTGAAAACACTAATAGTGACTAAATATAAATTTCACTCATGCTACTTTGATGGTACTTCTAGTGGTTGACAGTAATAATAACACTTGCTTCTATGTGGTGCATGTTTCCATAAAGGCGTCTTGTCAATAACGCATTACCCTTAATTCACACGAAGCTGAGGTCATAATTCGTCTGCGTTTTGTACTCCCACGAACCTCGGAACCAATTGGTCAGTGATCGGTTCTTATGATTACTGTAGAATATGAAGCATTCCAGCACGCACTGTAATGTATACGTAGGTAGGTACTAGGTAGTGTCCCGTCTTGGCGGTCGCCTCGGTACTATGGAGATCTTCACCTCCTAAATGCACTGGTCAACGAAGAAATGTCGAATCATTTTGTCAGAGGTAATTTTGTGTAGGTTGGAAAGCATTTTTGCTGCTTCCAACACCACATTTTTGCAAACGGGATATCGTTATTCTTATTGATTGATTACTAGATTTAATTAGATAATCTGATGTATACCGTGAATTAAGTTTGTGGAGCAAGTTCAGATTAAGTTTGATTTGTGTTGTCGATCGCTATCTCCAAAAGCAATTGAAATGGTAAGAGATAATTTATGTTTCAATTTGAGTGCAAATAAATTAATATAAATTTGACCAAGTGTCGTTTTTCACATGAAATTGTACAATGAATTCTCAGCACAAAAAAAAATAACTTATATACATACGGCTTACTGCTCCAGAGCAATTTGATTGTTTAAAGCTATAGCTTTTTTCTCATCATTAGGAGGTATACGTTCCCATATTTTTTTAGTTAAAGCCAACAAAACACGTTGGCCGTATGGCCGGAGTACAGGTGGCGGCACGCCATCAGCGCGTGCAAGGGCCACCGTCTGCGTGCACATGGGTAACTCGTGTATCTTGAAAGCAAAGGATTCACGTTTGGAGCTTATTTCTCGATTTATGTGTAAATTTTCTTAGTGAATTCTACTTTTTATTCAATCTTACCAATTATGATTTGTGATAACGAAGAAATAATGAACTGTTATGTCTCAACACCTAGTTAGAATTGACTACAAGTAAATGCTGCATGATACGATATTTTCTTTACGGATGAAGCAGAAGTCGTTGCATCCTCTCACTACAAAAATAAAACACAATCAATAAATTAGTCACCCCGATTTTACAGTTGAACAAATTGCTGTCATATCAGATGTGTCGCGAAGTACTGATAAGTATTATCAATGTTGCCCAGAGAGTTGCTGGTGATAAATTTTCATATTGCGGTTGGTGACCGTTAACATCGAGCCCTCATCGATAAACTCTGAAATCGCCGGACTTGTATCATACCCTTATCTATTATCAGTTAACAATACCATTCCCGATGGTCTTGCCAGTGACCCTACCTATCTAAAGGAGGAGAAAATTATTTTGATATAATTTTAGTGATCATAATTCAGCAGACTTTATTGAGGAATTAGTATATACTATATAGGCCGGAAATTAGACGTAAAATTCGCTAATTACTTCTGCGTGGATAAAATATTCACATCCCGGCTATGAATGCAACTTAAATTATCAAATGCACTTACCATAACTCCTACCATCATTTTTCTATACCCATTGCTTTCAGTTCCCATCTGAAGCTTTCTAACTTTACAAATGGGCATCAACAGGAAAAAAGGGAAAATATGGCAGAACCCCTATAATGCCAGTCTTTAATCATATTCATAATACCAGGTTTCATATTGTCATCCACATATGATGAATCATTGATTTTCATACGGACTAAATAACAGATATTATCAATTGCATTTTTTTATTAATTTATAAGTATTGTTTTAGCTGTCCACCACACAATTCTAACGATCATAGTTTCCCATCATTCACTGGTATTAAACTTGGAGCATTGCATATGCAATCATTCTGGAATATTATTCCGGTTAATAATAGGCTTTTGATGTACTATAGTTCAAATCTGCAGCTGCGAGATCACACGCGATTAGAGAACTTGGGCACGCGATCGCTGCATGATGCAGATGCGACTGTAGCTTATATGTTCCCGACGCTTCACAGAGCTGATGAAACGTACAAGCGCTAAACGAGAAACTTCACAAAATTACGGGATTTTAATTAGAGATATTCAATCAAAATCTCGACAATGGCGTAATGGCATCATGAGATGCGTGAATAATGCGTGGGTGCAGTGCATACAATATGTAACCGTGCAGGAAAACTGTATAGAATTCATACAGTAGGTGGCCATGCAGGAAAGCTGTTAAATACACTTAAGCTAGATTGCCCTACGTGCAATTTGTACAAATTCTTACAATATTGACATGTTACTATGACTATTACTTACTATGTACTATTACTACTATTATATGACTATTACTATACTATGATATATTGATATTACAATATTATTACATACTATATAGACATATTACAATATTGACAGTGTATTCATGAAATAAGTGGCCGCGCAAGACAGTTCTAGAGAGCAAATGAAACAATTCTAAATTCTTGGTTAATAAATTCTCGCAAATTTTATACTGAAATAAAATTTGTATTGGCATATTTCAGAATACAAGCTTTCTCACTCCCTAATTGTAGCAAGGCTATTGATAACCGTATTACTTTTGTCCAAGAACGAATTTACAATAAATGTCATCTTATAACAATCCTTGTAAATGATTAAGCTCTACGTGAAATTTACCATAGACTGCATGTTATGGCATCATGTTAAAACTGATGATAATTACTTGCAGTTAACTATACTAGAAAAACGTCAATGCGGTACTAGTAACAACTTTTTCACTTGTAATCATCGTTGAACATACGGCCATTGCTGAAAGAATATTAGAAGCTGCAGTTCACCGTAACCTGCAAGTCATAGCAACGCTGCAGTCTGCAGCTATCACGTGCCTGCTGCATGATCGAGAGCGACCGCTCACTTGCACCAGCGGCAGATGTTGTCGTACGCTTGCTGCTGATGCATGTTGTCATACGCTCGCTGCCGCAGCCCTGCATTTAAAGAAGGAATTAGCTGTTTGACAACCAGTTGTCGCGTCGCGCCACTGAGATTTGTGTGTATATGTAGTAGACCTTACTTCTGCCAAAGGAGATTGGAGTGCTCCCATAATCAAGTGCATCCTGTGTTTTTGTGTCCTCTATTCGGTGAAAGTTAATTTTGTAAGTACTCATGTGTTCGTTCGCATGGATTATTACACGTGTTGCTATATGGCGCGCAAAGATTTATTTAATGTAACAAACTAAATAGCATTGTTCTCAACGATGTGACCTCACCAAACGCCCAACAATTTAATGCTTTTAATTTGGCAGGGCGAGTAATTTTCTCAAACCATTCATGTGTTGAGGAGACGGAGTTGTCTACCATAAATGCTGATAACTTCGCCACAGCCCTTTAGTTGTCAGCCGTCAATAAAAACAATATATTTCCTAAACAAAAGTAAACCACATCTCTCTGGCGCGATCGAAACAGCTTTGTAGTCATCATGTGATTAACGAATACAACAAATCGTTGTTCTGACCACGACCAGTGTTATGCAGTTTCCAGGAACGAGTGTGCAGTTGCAGTTTCTGCTGAGTGACGATTTACATGTCATTGACCGTTACAGTAGGTAGGCAGTTGCCATCTACAGCTGCAACGAGCAAATTTCAATACTACACCAAGTGCAATTTCCTCATTATATGGTCATCAACGGCACGAGTCATTTCCGGCATTATTACCATCAACATTAAAAGACATTTCCAGCATTATTGCCTTCATTACTACAAGACATTTCAGGCATTGTTACCATCAACACGCTAGACATTTCGTAGTATGGAATAAGCAGACTTCATTGATGTGCTACTAAGTACTGTAACTAAAAGTACACACATGTATATTGTAGAAAACGAAATACGTACGTTCACACTTTCAAAAATACTGCTCAACATTTGAAATAAATTTTCAATGGCAATCCAAATTCTTCTTTTTTAATTATCCTTTTCTATTTTTCTTTATTAATTTTTTCTCTATTTTAATTTTCTTCTCTACTTCCCGCTTTTTCATTCTCCACCTCTCCCTATAAAACGAGCCTAAACTCTCTACCCTCGTGAAGCAAATGAGGAGCTATTCTCCGAGGGCTTGGAGTCCCTCAGGTCAAGTATTGACCGTCTGACCGATCACGGGTGCACATGAAGGGTCAGCCTTATATATATAGGGTCCACGGGTCAGTGTTTTCTGGACAAAAGAATGATTCGGTGCATAAACTGCAAAATATTATCGGGTCATGAAATGATATTTTCCAAAAGTTGTCGCTAAAATTATCATCTCGTTGAAGTAATCATACTAGCAGGCAAATTATCATGAAAAGGTAATCCTCTTTGCTCGATAAATACTAATAGTGGCAAGGTAATAATCGATACAAAATAATCAGCGTGACATGATAATCATCGTGGCAAAATAATCACGAGAGCCAAAATTATCATGACCAGAATTTCGTTAGAACTAATTGAAAATATCACGAAAAAATAAACATACTTCCTTGACGATATTTCCCTCATTCTGGATTGGATTATTGATTGGATTTCCTTACCTCGTGACATTATCGTCTCTGGCTGAAGTCAATACATGAGTGACGTGTGTTGGCTGAAGTCAGTACACGTGTCGAGCGACGTGTGTTGGCTGAAGTCAGTACACGTGTCGAGCGACGTGTGTTGGCTGAAGTCAGTACACGTGTAGAGCGACGTGTGTTGGCTGAAGTCAGTACACGTGTAGAGTGACGTGTGTTGGCTGAAGTTGATAAATCGTACCGATTACCTCTCATCTATATGCACATAAAATCATTAATTTGTTTAATGGATTTATATTTTGTTGCCTACTATGTGGCATTGAAAGTTATAGTAATTTTTATCGACTCTTCTCCAATGTTAATTCCAATTTTTTTTCTCTTATATTTATAATGAATACTTTCCTCTTATATTAGTGCTAAACACTTTCTTCTAGAAGCGATCCTAAATACTTTCCTCGCACAGCGTCTAAATATTTCTCCAATATAAAACATGACTATTCTTCCCTAATTTTAATACCTAATGCCTTCATCTAATAATAACCCTTGATACTTTCCTCTAATATTTATCCCTAACACTCACCTCATATTGATCCCAAACATTTTCCTCTAGTATCAATTTCAAGGACTTTCCTTTGATCTTAATCCGAACTATTTTTGCCTAATATATATCCGTGACAATTTCTCCTAATGATTATCTTAAATACTCTCCTCTAATATAAACACAGAATATTACTCGTGGTATGAAAGTTCTTCAACATCTGCTCCCTGAAATACCGCAGGACATTTGAGAGTCGTGTTACCTAGGTTTGTAGTACACATGTTCTGTTGTTATAAGAGAGCGCAAGCCAGGATGTGATAAGTGGCTTTCCATTCGTCTTGTTCGTGCTGAGAAATAGTTTATTGGCATCATAACTGCTAGCGCGTGTCGTTGCATTTCTAGACGTACGTAGACCTTCAATAATCAGAATCCTAAATGATTTAGAACACATCTCCTGAACTATGTTGAATTAAAATGTAAAACATTTTGATTTAAACCAAGTTGTATTATAAGTGACGGGAAGCATGATTTATATTATGAATTTTTTAAAATCCTACGCGTAATACCCTAACCAAAACGATATTTATGTCAATAAATATTTCATGTTTGTGTATACGCCAAATAATTTTGCTATTCACTATGCGAACCTCAGCTCTGTATTTTTTATGTATCGAAGTGACAGTGCGCGACCTCGTCCACATTTGTTTTTCGTCCCAAAGAACCGTCATTACAGAAAAAGCAGATCTCGCGCAGACTTGAATGTCATAGAATGTTCTCTCTGTTGAAATAATTAGTGAGGTCCTCTATTGGAACACCATGAACTTTTCAATTATAAAAATTTGTCATTTCTATTGCAAAAGTTTCTTTTGTCTTGGAAAAATCATTTTTATTATTATTTTTATATTCAGCACGTGAAACGTGTCAGTATTTACATTATATATTTATATATATATTTTAATATTATATATTTAACATGTCAGTATTTATAATGTATATTTTTATATCGTATATAATATTTCACTCGCTATCCAGCAATTATGTTCAACTTTTTTGCATTGGTCACCTGTAATTTAATGATATTTCAACATACTGATAAATTTTTTGCTTTCATCTTTGCGATCTACAGCATCTCTTTTTGTATCATTTTAACTTGTACAATTTTCTATGTAATTTATATAGGTATATGCTTTTTCACTTTCGCTACATTTTTAATATCTGTCAATTTCTTTGCTGATAACGCAGTGATGCGGTATTTATTTTTGTTCGTATATAATGTTAATATTTCTTTTATTCCTTCCCTTCAATTAATTGCAAAAAATATAAATTTCAGTATACACTAAGATAATTTTTCGGTTACTTTTTCCTTTTGCAATTTAGGGTGCATATTTTCCTCCTTAATCTCCATTTGCTAAATTTGTACTTAATATTCCTTAGCTTCTCTGCTATCGTTTTTATCTAGAAATTCTCGCACTGTTTTCTTTCTATAATTAATAATTCGAAAGTTTTATGATAATTAATTACCAATTTTTTCGCAGCCTGCAGCGTGACGTCGAGGATCATGACGATGCAGGGCAGCGGCGTTCTAGTTCTCCTTCAGGCAGGCATGCGTTCTGGAGCGTCCTGCTCGGCTAAGGTCGCGGTGAGTTCTGAAAAAAAAGCTGCTCGTCACGTTCGGTTCATTTCTTTCATCTATGACTAATTTCTCATGTAAAAACAACGATGGAATATTAATTCTCAAGCATGTCCTACCGCGGATTGCATTTCGAGAATACTTGTTATTACGTTTGTAATAGAACGCTTGTTCCGCATTATTTGGTAGCTCACATCAAAAGAGGGCACACCAGCAAAAATCTATGTAATTTTCAGAAATATTTTCATTGCGCTGTTAAATATACGTAACATCATTTGATTGATTTCATTAGTAATTCGAAATTGATGGCTTAGTGTTCTTGATATAAGGACTCGCTGCCTCGAAAAATTACGTGCCTCAGAGATTAGAATTTAATTTGAATACCGGTACTTGATATAATCATCAATTTCTTTCTCATTTCTCAATTACCGGTATACTATATAGGTTCGATGAATTTGATGTATTCAATATTCCATTATTTTTTTCACTTTCAAAAAGTTGTTGTTTCCATAATTCGATATAAGTTTCTATTTTGAATGCGTTATTATTAAATTTTGAATTTTCTACTGCCAGGCTCCAGCGTGCAGCAGAAACATATTCAACAAAGTCCCGCAAAGTGGGGAAGCGTCGAATCCCCTCACAAATTCCTCATCTAGCACGCACACAATCCACGACCGCACCAGCTCCCCATCACGAATCCAACGGAAATCCACTCTCACACTTCACCATAAATCAACAATCCCGCTCCAGCAATCCACTGCCCCAGCAGCTGCTTATCCAAGCCCCCTATCCGATGACATTTACGACCACCCCAAAGTGATCAATGAATCGCTGCCTCACGGCTCCAAGTCTAATGTCATTATCGGCAGAAATGGCATGCCGCTGCAAATTCGCACTCTTCCTAAAATGCCAGGCGTATTTGGCTCAGATCCTTATTGTATGGAGCATTTACCAAAGCTGGACGTGAATCGTTTCAAGAGCGGCCCGTCCAGCACCAGCGCCCTCTCTATGTATTGTTATCAAAGAAAACTCCATATCGATAAGATCTCCAAGTATATGACGCTCATATCTCCAGTGCCTGAAGAAGGCACGTACACGCAGGTTCAGCGCAAGCAGTACAAGGTGGGCAACTGTACAGCTCGGCAAATTGACTTGATTGTTTGAGATTAGTGTCTGTTCTCGGTGTGCGTCTTCTTTGGGATGTTTGTTTTAGAATAGAATAGAATAGAAGTGTCGGCACTGAAGAAATAGGCCCATGGCCTGTTGCCGATTCTTGTTCATAGAATATAATAGAAGTGTCGGCACTGAAGAAATAGGCCCATGGCCTGTTGCCGATTCTTGTAATTTTTGTGACTTGATTCCACAAGGGATCCGGCCTTTGGAACCCGATCTTTCCATAGCTGACGATTGATTGAGAGATAGCTGCTGAACTTATTGCCTGGTCCGTAATTTGCTAGGCATTTCAAAACTGAACATATGATCATATGCTAAAATCATGTATTGTTTTCGGCGTGCTTGTTCTAGGAACGTTTGTTCCCGCATTCCTGTTAGCTTCGTGCATGTTCTATGCGTTCCTGTATTTCGTGTGCGTTCTCAAAGTTCTTGTTCTTTGAGTAGGTACTTGTTCTCGAGGTGATTGTTCTATGCGTGCATGTTCGTAGTGTGTTAGGATCAGTTTACTTTTACCTGACATTGTACCGGGAATGCTGGTTCTTTGGCTTGGGACTTTGAAATCTCATGAATAATATTTGAAGATAAGCTATGCGTACAAACTCTAAACCCTCAATTTTGTTTTCAGTTTAACGCGCATTTCCCCCAAAAAATGTTGCCTAACAATTTATTTCCCCAATATCAATTCAGATTCCATTTTTATCACCTCTTATCACACAATAAACACTAGTGTCAATCTTTCATGTCTAGCCATTTTTTTCATTTTAAACTGAGAAAATTGAATTTCATTGCAATTTTTCATTTATATCTTGAGTCGCGCTCGGTCCCAAGGGATTATTCCTCTGCAAGTTTCATTGAAGTTTTGTTGTATGGCAGGACGCGCGGCCGCTGGTGCTGCTGTACCCATGGCTCATGGCACACGATAAGCACGTCGCCAAGTACACGAGACTCTACACCGACCTGGGCATTGACGTGCTCAGGGTGAACATCACCCCGCTCGACCTGCTCAGACCCGTGCCTCGTGCCCAGGTGCGTTGTGTTGTGTTATTGCCCGGCGCCCAGGTGCATTGTATTCTGTTATTGCCCTGCCCAGGTGGGTTGAGTAGTAGGATCAGCTATCAACGCTTCAGCTATCAAACTATTTCGCACCACAGCGGAAATCCTTCCGCGAGGGAAGCGGAAAACTTCTCAAATTTTTTTATAGCCCAGACGGGACGGGATGTCCCTATGTCTAACCCACAGCTGACTTGGAAGAAGCAGCGTTAGCATCTTAAAGAGACGAATTATAAGGAGGGACTGGTTAAGAGCTACAAAAATGACACCCGCACAAGAGGTCGCTTACACTTGACGTCTTAACGCCAAGTATAAGCGTCCTAACGTACAGAGAAAAAAATGTAAGGAATCTTACCTTACGTAAGAACTTAACCCTATAAGTGTGGGGTTAAGTTCTCTGTGGTACGGCGGGGTTAGATACTGCGAGCTCTATGGCGGGGCGCTCAGGAACAATCCCCCTAGGAACGAGAAAACCCAAAGGACTTTTGACGAGCACCGACAAACGTAAGAAGTCTGCTTGAGGGACCAGGTTGATTGAGCTCAATTATTGCTGCACTCCCAGGCGGATTGAACGTAGTTTTGTGCATGAAAGATGAAGAAGATCGAGGAATGGAGATTTATAATGATGTGTTAAGAGTTGCTTTCTGCCTAAGTATTAGCATGAAATTAAAACATATATTATTTATATATCTGCAAGTTTAATGTAATCCCTCAGGTCGCTGCCAGGGAGGTGCTGGAGTATCTGCTCGCTAACACGTGCTGGCACAAGCTGCTTATACACGGCCTCAGTGTGGGGGCTTACGGCTTCATGGAGGTCATGACTAAGGTGGGTCATGGAGGTCATGATTAAGGTGGGTCATGGAGGTCATGACTAAGGTGGGTCATGGAGGTCATGACTAGGAGTTAGTTGAGTAATAATTTAAGTGAGCTTTTCCTAAGTGATCGTCGTTTTGTAAATTAGTTCGATGTTATCAGTCCTCTAAAGTTAAATTGCACTCTTATTATAACTTTACCAATAATAATAATAATTCAGTGTGACTGATCAAAGATGCCTAGGACGGAAGGACAGTTCGTCATCTAACTTTGGCCTCACCATAATTACTGTTTACTGTATTTATTATTTCTCTTCTTTACAAGTGTATGAATTTTCATGTGAATTAGAAAGCTTTCTACAGCTGAACGACGGCAATGGAGAAATCCGGCTTAAATCGAGCTGTCCCGTTGGTGTATAGCCCCCTCTGTGATAATTTGTTAATAACAATACGGCAATACCTGTTAATAACAATTATCATCAGCATTAATGATAATTTAATACAAATGCTACAATATCTCAGTTAAGATTTGGTACTATGGCATTTTTTTCTATAATTTTAGTTGGACAGTAATCGAAATTTCGGTTTGTTACCTAATCATGCCTCGCATTGACTGCCACGACAGCTTGTTCCCTCTATTATTACCCTCATTCCTGACCCTTGCCTGGCATTGACCGCCCTCAACCCTCGTGTTCAGATGGAGGCCCACGAGGACCGCTACTTGAGCATCAGGCCGCGCTTCATCGGGCAGGTCTGGGACAGCCCCTGCGACCTGCCCGGTCTCAAGGAGGGCGTCTCGCGGTCCATCACCAACAACAGGATCCTGCAGATCAAGATCATGGACGCCCTAGAGTCAGTTCCGCCTTTGAAATGCGCTTTTTGCTGATGTGTTACTATTTCGAATAACGCTTCATATGCTGAAAAATTTTTTGTTAACGTCTTATGATTTAATAGTTATTGGCGTGTTTGGTCATGGTCAAACATGGACAAATAATTGCGTTGTTAGTATTTATATGGAAGAGAATTCATGGCTGGAAGATTTTCAAAAAATGTCAGTAGTTGTTTAATGCCCAAATGTGATAGAGACAATGTTTATTGTAGATCACTGTTGTTTAAATTGATTTCAGTTGTTAGTTTTTGTCTTCATTAATACAATTAATATCAATAGTTATTTTAACTGTACTAATGCAACTGTAGTTGATTTGTCGGTATTAGAATTATTAAAATTATTCTGTAGCCTAACTTGACTCCTGGAATCACATTTTGCCCTCAGTATTAGAATTAATATCAATGGTTATGTATAACTGTACTAATGCAACTGTAGTTGGTTTGTCGGTATTGGAATTATTGGCATATATTATTATATTATTATTATATATTTGTCGGTTATTATTATTATGTTATTAACTTGACTCCTGGTATCGCAGTTGGTTTCTGGAGTTCCGGTACGAGGCGGCAACACGTCACTACGTCAAGACCCAGGACATGTTCCACAAGAACTACTGCCGCGCACCCAGCCTCTTCCTCTACTCCAGAGCTGACCCTGTCTCCGTGCCCTACATCAACACTAACCTCGCCAACTGGTGGCACAAGTACGGCTTCGAGGTACGTAATACCTTCATTGTCTCTCATTTGCTTTTTGGAAAATCATGATATTATTTGATGTTGTGACATTTTATGATGAATTTGAATGAAGTCTAAAAAATAACACTGATGTAAAATCCGTGTTAAAAACAGTTTCGCATGGATTATAATCGATATTATTTTCAGGTATTTGCGAAAGTATTCAACGAGTCAGGACACGTCGGCCACTTCCCTAAATACAAACTAGAGTACACGTCCCACGTACACGCCTTCCTACACCACATCGGCATGCTGCGCTACGCTGGCATCAACTTGGATACGTAAACATAATAAACAAAAACACAAAATAACGTTTAGAAGAGGTAATGAGATTTGTAGATTATTTCCTTCCGGTTACTCTTTATAAGTTTTCCAGAAGCGTTTGCTTGTCACCGAGTCATTTCTTTAAATGGGAATTGAACTTTACGAATATGATTACTGGTACCCGTATATCTGTAACCCATACATACCGATCGCGGGTATCATTACCGGGAAATTTCCAAATTTTAAGAAAAACTGTTGATTTTATTCCTTATGTTAAATGTACTATTGATCCATTTTGTAAATTAGCTTATTTGTCGTGTTAAGTTACATTTTGTTGGATAAATACTAGCATAGCAAACCAAATAAATTGATGAAGAACGTTTTACCCATATTCCTATTCAACACTCGAGTGTATTTAACTTAGGCTCGTATATAGAGAAACAACACGTCTTACCTTCGCTGGTAGTACGCATTCCGTTCACATTTTTATTAGTATCTTCTCATACATATTAGTGACTTCTCGTGTATGGAGAAGTTGCGTATCAATTAACCGTCTTGTCTCTACGTCACATTGTTGTTCGATATGTCTTATTTGTGTCGCAGAGTTGTATCGTCGCCGGAACGTTAGTTGTTAAAATATATTTATTTTAATCGATACGAATTCGTTACTGTGATTCTAACCAAATTGGCCTTATCGTAATAAGCTTTCACTGATAAAAATTATTAGGCTTTTGAAAAAAGCTTACTTATTAAGCTTTAAAATTACTAAGCTGAATTAAGCTTTCATTGCTTTCGGTTGGAACTATGAGGATTAACTGGAACTATGAGGATTAATAAGCATCCAAATGTATTATTGTGTTTCCATGCTGCTGAAATATGATTCCACGTGATGTAGGAGCCACTCGTCTTAGACTAAGATTGCTCATCCACCATCGATGTTCGATGAACTAAGTGTGCATTTTGACGGCGTTCATAATTTCATTCGAGATATTTTTTCTAGCTGATGCATATAATCGTTAGTGCATTTGTGCTTCATTGGTTTTGGGGCTCAAAATTCGCCACGACGAATGGGGAAACCTGGAGCGCACGTATCTTGGACGACTTGCAACTGATCTTTATTAAGAGATACCTATACACTTGCAGCAAACGGATCTCTGGAGGGCTGTAGCTGAGCTTTCAAAAACCCTTATAAATTATATGTTCAAAGGTCCACTCCCTCACTTTTAAATTTCCATTCACACGTTACGTACGCTAATTTACTTTAAATTCATTACTAGTTTGGTATTTTCACCTGTTTTTTATGTTTCAAAATTGTATTCTCTTCGTTCCGAGGTTTATGATTGTTTTCTCACTCCACTGCGTAATTTGATTTTAATTCCTGCTCAAAATTGAAATTCATTCTGCACCACGTAATGGATACCGCACCTGGCAACAAAGTTATTTTTACCTACGATACAAATAAATTAGAGCTTCGTGTGATGCTACGCACATTGTGTTTATCAGTTCGTTGTGGTTATTTAAATCACATTTAGGTGTTGTAATTAGCTTGGTGATGGCTTCTTGAAGACATCAACTATTATTGTACGCACAATTATGTGCGCAAATTATGTTAACGTTTTTTGTAGAATGTTTTTTTTATATTTAATCATTAAATTGTTATTTCTTTATTGTTTCGTGTGTGAAGTTGACTCTAAGTGGTCGTACAAAATCAAGTTTGAGTTAATTCATATTGCGTCCATACTCACCCTGTCAAGTATCTTCTCAAATTACAGACCTTAAGTTTTAATACGTACTGAAATTCGAGTTACCTCGGATACTCCAACGCTTACGAAGCACATGGATATATGAGATTATTTCTTTCTGAATTGTTAAGTTACCCTATCAAAAAATGTTGTATTTATTGTCTCACTTTCAGTGATATTAGCGCTATAAGGATTTGCAATTGTGGTAATAATCTATTTTAATACATTTTATTTTTGTTATCTGGATAATAGTTATCATTATTAATTGTATTTTAAGGGAAAATAGCACGATTGTTTTCCTTATCGACATCTATCAGTCCTTGAAATGATTCTAAATTTAGTACCGAGATGGTTTCGTACATTCCAACGTCCTCTTCCATCTACTGTTTTACATGTTGTTTCCCAAGAAATAGACTTATAATTCATCATTTACGAATAACGACACCTTGCTTTTAACGCGAAGTTTAGGTTCGCACTTTACGTTTGTGTACTTGTCGTATTTATTACTTTTTTTATCTCGGCTTCGACATTTTCCTGTATGGTTTTTCGACATTTATTTTGTATTTGTGTCTCTCAGTAAATATTTCTCCGGATTAAGATTTAATTTCTGCCTGATGAGCCTTCTGGTTCCACCTGACGTACTGATAGGTTCCTCTTGACACTGCTGGGTTACAGCGCATCAATCCGCAACTGAGATTGGACATTCAAACGTAAATTGCACGTCTGCAGTCTGCACGTCGCAGGTTCTACCCTCACATGTGCTACCCTCGTCTGCAGTCTGCACGTCGCAGGTTCTACCCTCACACGTGCTACCCTCGTCTGCAGTCTGCACGTCGCAGGTTCTACCCTCACACGTGCTACCCTCGTCTGCAGTCTGCACGTCGCAGGTTCTACCCTCACATGTGCTGCCCTCGTCTGCAGTGCACGTCGCAGGAGCTGCCGTCACGTCACTGTATTGTGGCTCTGCAGCGGCACGGCAGCTCGCCTGCTCTGGTCGCTACTCGCACGGCCAAAATAATTTAGGAATAAAGCTTGAGTTGTTTCCTGAAATTATTGCAAATAGTGGCTTTAATTATGACATTTATACCATAGCACTAGAACAGGAGGCATAATTCAGTAGCAAAGGAAGCAGCAGATACATTGAATAATTGGTGCACCTGGAGAGAAAGCAGTTCGCATGTTAATATTGTGCTGCGTGGACAAAATGATGAAGGTTATCTTATAAATTACACATGTTTCAGCTAATTTATCCGGTATCTCTTAACTAGTTTTGATTTTTTTCCGTAGTAATGTCGGATCATTAGTGACTATTAAATGGCGGCGTTTATTTCGCTATTTCTGTTTATCGTCAATTATTATTAGATGACAGATTTTTTTTTGAAAAACGAACGATTAATGACCAGAGAATGTATTACCTTCCAATTTTCAGGGAGTAGAAAAATTCTCCAGATGAAGTTAATAGATCAAAAGGCAGGTCTCAGCAAGTACTTATAATATATTTAACGACGTTTCGAAAGTATCAACATTAATTTTCAAGTTATACGAAGCATTGAACAATGAAATTTCGGTGTAGATTCATTAAAATGTATTTATGTCCACTATAAGGGACATAAATACATTGTAAACCCCGAATAAATACATAAATACTACAAACCCCGAAAAACTCTTATTCTATGGTTTTCAAACCATGGGTTTGGCTTTAAAACCCCGAAAAACCCTCATTCTATGGTTTTCAAACCATGGAACACAACACATCGTCATCATGCAGTGCTGGAGGAACCCACCAGCATCGTCATCATGCAGTGCTGGAGGAACCCACCAGCATCGTCATCATGCAGCGCTGGAGGAACCCACCAGCATCGTCAATGGGGATTGGACTCCAGCATCTGTTTGCAAATTACTGAAATTGTCTGAATTTTGAGATAGTTTTCAGAGTCATTTTCCGTTTCAAAATTTTCGTCTTGCATCCTATTTACGTGTATTATGTACTTATGTCCACCAAAATTTCATTCTACAATGCTTCGTATAACTTGAAAATGTATGTTGATACATTCGAAACGTCGTTAAATATATTATAAGAACTTGCTGAGACCTGCCTTTTGATCTATTGCCTTTTGATCTATAAACGTCATTTGAAGAATTTTTCGACTCCGTGAAAATTGGAATACAATACATTTTCTGGTAATTTCATCGTACGTGTTATCTTCGATTCTAGACAAGACAGTGATGATGAGAGTGACATCATGAGACTACACAGTATTTCAACAACTTTCAAGCAAATTTCTTTGTTTAAATCTCTATTGAATTACTAAATCATTATAAGTTTTTATGCTCAATACCATGAGGCATTAAAGGCAGCAAACATCCACTCGAAATTAGGCTAATTTGCTCGAAATTAGGCTAATAAAAATGTAATAATACTTAAATAAAAAATACAAACATAATAAAATATAATTATACTACTTGGTTAATACTCAATTATTCGTTTCCAATGCGTTGATATTAAATGCGTATGTCTTAAATGTTGTTGTTGTTTTGTCTGCTTCTTGAGGAAGTGGAGTCGTCCTCCATGCACCTCACGGCTCAAAGAGGCTCCCTCGTCTGGCAAGCCAAGCTGTAATAAATAAAGCCATTAGGCGATATATTTGTGTCATATGAAAGTTATATTGTGCACCTGGTTAGTCTACAGGTTAGTAACCCTTACCTAGCACTAAGCTTGTCATTTGGACACAAGGATTCATAGGGCCAAATGGTCCAGCCTGGGCGTATGGCTTAAATATTCATCGAAATATAACATAGAATACGAAAATCGTGAGCACGGACTCAAGTAAAATTAAACTTTATCTCTAAAATAAATTTTTTAATTAATACATGACCAAGTTCATTTAGTTCGGCTGACCAGTGATGTGAGCGGTCATAACTATTTATGTTATTTTTTTATGTTACGTAATGAAGTAATTCGAACGGTCAACTTTATGATATATGGACAAACTAACATGTCATATATATATTTTTACATATACAAGGCATTCACAATTATTTAGGTATAAAACTGAAAAAAGTTGCAAGTAATTATTAATTTATTGAAATAACATCAACGAACGCAGTCAACGCCTGATTAATAGAGATATATTCGGTCCTTTGCATCTGATGCGAAGGACCGAGTGATGGATGACACGGCCTTTGTTGTAGACTGTTGCAGCAAGGTACTCAACACATCGATTGATGTTATATCTTGCAAGAGGCTACGCTCGAAGGATGCTGCTGGCAACACCTTCAGACCTCTGCTGGTGACTGTAAAGGGTTCTGCTCAGTTCTGGAGCGTGCTGAAAACAGCGAGAAAGCTTGGAGAATCCGCTGATTACAAGTCAGTTTTTGTAAAAAATGATTCCGCCCCCTTAGAAAGGGCGGTTTTTCGCAAGAAGTGGCAGGAGAGAATCAGGCGGAAAGGCACGGAAAATCAGGTCTATCACTTCCAAGCTGCCAAGACAACACCGGCTGCTCACGGACAGTCAGAGGAGATGGAGGACAAGTAATTAGTAGGAATGATGTCCGTAGATTTTCTGTGAACAAGGCACGAAAAGGAAAAGAATCGGCGACAGGCCACATCAGGCCTACACTTCAGCGCCGAGATCAATATGTTATGTTATGTTAATGAATATTCGCCTAAATTTCTCGTCATTACAAAAACCGAAATATGTTTCACGAGAAAGCAAGAATTATTTTCTTCTAAGATAATGTCGATAGTTTGTAATTTGTTTGGAACGCATACGTCAGCGCTCGCACAGACGGCATTAAATTGGCTATTATTACAACACTTCTCTTTAACTTCACTTGCTGTTTGTCTGCCACAAATCTTGTAATCAAAATTTAAAACACTTCTACTTATCCCATCGATCTGAAATTTTGAACACTTGTGTAAAGTTGGAGACAATTCATGAATCATATGTCAAAATAAAAGATTTTTAAAGCATTTTTTTTCAACATTAAAAAAATTGGAAAAATAATTTTGTCAGCTACAAATCTTATAACTGATATTTGACACACTTTTACCTGTCTAATTGAGCTGAAATTTTGCACACTTGTGTGAAGTCAGAGGCAATGCTTGAATCAATTAACAGAATAAATAATTTTGAGAAAAAAAATTTATATAAGAAAATTGAAAAATTAATTTTTTTACTTCATTTATTTTCTCATAAAAAAAAATTTATATTAAAAAATTGAAAAATTAATTTTTTTAATATTCGAAAATTAAATGAGAAATTCATTGTACATCTGTAAGATTGGAGGCACTGGATTCTTTGGAAGTGTTGTCTTTAAAAAGTAATTTTTAAACGTATATTTTTGTTTGCCTGTCTGTCTGTCTGCTACAAATCTTATAATCGATATTTAACACACTTCTACCTGTTTAATCGATCTGAAATTTGGCACACTTGCGTAAATTTGGAGACAATGCATGAATCAATTGACAGAATAAATAATCTATCAAATTAAATTTTTTTTTCATTATTAAAAAAATTAAAAAATAATTTCGTCTGCTACAAATCTTATAATCCATATATGACACAATTTGACCTGTCCAATTGATCTGAAATTTTGCACAATTGCATAAAGTCAGAGACAATGCATGAATCAATTGACAGAATGAATAATTTTGAAAATGTACAAAATTTTGGTATCATAAAAAAATTTTGAAAAATAATTTTTTTTCAATATTTGAAAATAAAATTAGAAATTCATTGTAAATGCATAACATCCAAGACACTGGATTGTTCAGAAGTGTTGTCTTTAAAAAGTAATTTTCAAACGCATATTATTTTTATACCTAATTTCTTTCGATTTATTCTGCTTCTCTTCTTTTTATGTGTCAGCCATGAAAGGAAAATATCAATAAGAAAAAACGGAATATTGGTAAACTCACATTCATACAAAATACACTTATCTTAAATTTGATAATATAAAAAAGAAGAAAAAGTAATGATAAAAGTTTCGAAAGAAAATAAGAATTGGTTCATTCCTTATTTTCAGTGTTCATTGTTATAGAAAAAGTCTTTCACCTTAATTCTTTCAAAATCCTTCCTAAAAAGTGCCCTTTTGCGATTACATTTATCTATTCAGAAAAAAACGGGACTAAAGGTCGTTTTTTTACGTCGGTGGGAAATTTCTTCCTAACAGCTGCGCTCGAGTTTGCCCATGTTTGCCGCTCAACAAGCATACGATAGTTTGATAAAAAATATTTGCAGAAAATATGCAAGACAAGGTGTCGTATACGTGGCCTTCACCGCGGCAAAACAATTTGTGCAAGCTGCACTTGTTCGGCGCACAGCGGGCGAGCTTTAATTTCCGACTTAATCTGAAGGAACAACACATAACTTTTTCGTTCAGTGAAGCAGATGAGATCTTTCAAAATGTCTAATCATTCTAAAGAATTAATTCATGGTATATTTTCTTCTCTATAAGTGAAAATACACATGGCAGAACTCACGGAAGTGCGTTGGTGCGACATAAATATTATGTTTTTCTTACTGATTGAAGTAAATTATCAGATCTATTAGGCAAGGAAGGTCAGAAAGCGTTCTAATAATCTTCATAA